CTTCATTTGCAAAATGTTAATCACTTGTCTCAAACTTGACTATTCCTTCTGAAAGTGTTAATTAATCGTTTAAGAATCCAGAGGTCATTCGATTCCACACCGATCACTCTATGTTATCGTTCTCCTTTTTTTGATCTCATTAAAGTTCTGCCTTCAGGCACTACATCTTAGACTGATGATACACACTACTTATATCTGTCGAGATAAGTAGCACACAGCACAGAACTAGAAGTCAATAATCAACAAGCCAGGTCAACCAGTGAAACTGACGAACGGTGGAACAGGTGGGTAGAGCACTCTAAAGAACTCTTGAACAGACCAATCCCACTGAACCCACCAGACATCGAAGAAGCACACACGCACATTCCTATGGTTGCCACTCCATCAACAATAGAATATATCAGGATGGCAGACAGATCAACTGTGGGAAAGCAGAAGCACCTGACAACATATCGGCTGTAGCACTGAAGTCAGATATTGAAGTAACTGCAAACATGCTTCACATCCTATTCTGAAAGATTTGGGAGGAGCAACAAATGCCGATAGAATGGAAAGAAGAATACCTCATCAAGATACCAAAGAAAGGAAATCTCAGTATGTGTGAGAACTATAAGGGCATCACACTACTGTCAGTAACAGAAAAATTTTCCGACAGAGTGTTGCTGAACCGGTTGAATGATTCAGTGGACACTTAGCTTCGAAACCAATAGGTCGGATTCCATAAGGATCGGTAGTCCACGAACCAAATCTCAACACTACTAACCATCGTTCAACAATCCATTGAATGGAATTAGTCACTATACATCAAATTCATTAACTATGAGAAAGCGTTTGACGGTGTGGATAGGAGAACATTATGGAACGTATTCCGACTTTATGGTGTAACCGGTTATCTCATCAACATCATCCGGAATTCATACGACGGACTACACTGCGAAGCCGTGCATGGAGGACAGTTGACAGATGTATTCCAAGTTACGACCAAAGTCAGACGAGTCTGCTTACTTTCCGACTTATTCTTTCTACTGGTGGTTGACTGGATTATAAATACTTCCACATCTGAGGGGAAGCACGGAATATGGTAGACAGTTTGGAGGCAGCTAAAAGACTTGGACTTCGCAGATGACCTAGCTCTTCTATCCCATATATACCAACAATTGCAGGTGGAGACAGCAGGTGTAGCACCAACCACTGTAGCAGTAGGCCTCCACATACACAAAGGAAAAAGCAACATCCTCAAATACAACGTGCAGAACACCAACCCAATCACATTCGATGACGAAACTCTGGAAGGTGTGGAAACTTTCACGTACCTGGTCAGCATCATCAATAAACAAGGATGATCTAATCCGAGTGTGAAGGTAAGGATTGGTAACGAAAGGGCAGCATTCCTACAGTTGAAGAACACATGAAACTCAACCAGTTTCAAGTCGGAATCTTCAATAAGAATGTCAAAACAGTTCTAGTATGCGGGGCTGACGCTAATACAAATATGATGAACTTCATTGAACTTTACTATTGTAGTGAAACTCGTTATGTACGTTATGGCTTATTCCGTCCCCTCTTATGCAAATCGAAACCTAATATGATTCTTATGCTATGCACTATTATGTATAAGATAATTTGGACATAGGAGTACTATATTACTTTATCACACGAACATATATTTAAAGGTCCTCATATAAGAAACATGCTAAGGCATTTTTCAAGTCAGAGATACAAGACTACAAGTGAAAATGAAGCCTGTGACGGAAAATTTTCAAGTATCTGTTAGGACTAACCACATAATTAATTATTGTTTTAATAAACGACTGTTTACGCTTTTTGGTAACAATGTATCAGCGCTTGTAACGAAAATTCTCATTTCGAGTAACTCTCATGTTTCTGAAAACATTCTCAATAATTAAAGGAATTCTGCGTTAGTATTTGAATTCAATTGAGTTGCTAGCTTTCTATAATTTGCTTGTCGAAGCGATTTCAGATGATTATACATCAGCAGTTTAATAATGGATTATATATATGTCAGTATTGACCTAAGATGTCTTAGATCATTCCTTCATCTTGATCCATATTAACGTGTTAGATAAAAATAAATTAGCAGCGCTAATCTCTGCAGATGACGAAAAGATTCAAAGATCTACAAGGAGCGAAAATTATTCACTTGAGTTTAAATGGTACCCTACAATAGAAAAATCGGCAATAGATAAACAGTTCGAACATAACCTGTCGAAATATCACGTCATGAACATTCTTCCTCATTTAACACAAAGCGCTTTCACCCTGCGCGCGAATCCTCTCCCAATTGTCTCTTTTGAACGTTCTCGGGCTTGCAACCACGGAGAATTAGGACACCAGCTTAAACTACAAAATAATATGTTTCTCGGACTAATTTCAGAGGCAGAAACTCAATTGGATAAAATGTCTAAAACAAAAATCTTACGGGACAGACCCCAACATCCGAGGTGATTCTGGTTGAGTTACAGGGGAATGAGAAGTGACCTGATAGTGGCCGAAAATATATTAAGTGCACCGAGCCACCCCAACACTAACATATTACCAGAATATCATCAACACGCTCCCCAAGGCAACCTTCAAAAGACTGCACACCAAAGAACAGATACGCTTTTACTTTTTCTCATCAAAGGTTTCTCCCGTTCAGAATGCGCCCCCAGCCGGGGTGACCATGGCTACATCAGTCGATAGCTTTTAGAGGGAACTTGATAAACAACTGCCTATTCACAGATTACCATTCTCCTCTTTGACCATCTGTGTCTGATGCACGTCTCGTAAATTACCACGGCTATCATTACCAAATACCAGTAACTACTTCCTACCTCTCTTATTATCATTTCCGTTCCCGCTTTTATCCTTTTGATTCATTCTTTTTACACGTTACGAATCAGGTAAATTATTTGTTTACTCTTGAAACAATCGCTTCAGCTAGAATCTGGATTATCAGTTTGTCATTTGGACATCGAAATCTAAGGCGAAAAAAGTGGAAATTTCACTTTATTTCCGAATAACAGACGAAAAAGCAGACCTTTTGGCGCGTTTTCGATCACTTAATTACTTGGGTTGGCTGCTTTGGGACCTAGTTGAAAGAAAGCTAGTGGTTAGTTAATATAAAAGTGGCATCTTTTTGTGAATTCGTTGACTTATATTATGATCATTGTTGAGCCATGCAGACTATCATCTTGTTCGGGTCAGTGTGATGATCATGATCAGTGGTTCAGCACGTTTGTCTGACAATAAGTTCGAAATCCATCTCAATGGTTCAGGTGAACTCACTCCTTTTTCCTCTAGATCTACAGTTCTACCATTCATTTATGATTACATTTTCATTATCCTTTCAAACTATATTCGCGTTTTAGTCTTTTTTTAATCGATAATGTTACTAGATTGTTTCGACTCTTAATAATCATCTTGTTGATTCTATCTCGTCACACTAATGTGATGTATCACGTTTTTTTAGATCACATTTGTGACACAGTCTAATTTAATCGTGACTGATCAGCTTTTAATTCGATCCAGCTTTACTTTATAGAAACCAATTATAATGCATGACAAGCGACATATCAAACAACAGAACACTGAGAAACAATACTCACTATTAAAAATAGTAAAGTTTTATATTTCAATTCTGATTTCTTCCATATAATTGGCCCAAAAATAGTACGATAATCGTAGTGCAGGCGGAAACCAAAGCTCTTATGTACTGATGAGTTAATCAGTAAGTAGAGTTACGTAGACAGACTTTAGAAGTCTTGGTGAGTTCTATCAGCCAAGGCTTCGTTAAACTATCCTCCCTACTGATTACCGTTCGTCGTGGAAGACGTCAACAAATAGGCTCTTGCATAAATCTACTATATTTCCATGGTAGCATTTAGGTTGTACCATGCAGCTTTTTTCAATTCCCCCTTGCACCTTTTCTGCTGTAATTGTTGAGTCTACGAGCTTCCACTTTACAACTCTGCTGCTTTTCTCTACTACTTTGTTCGCTTCTGTATATTCGGCATGTGACTCGAATTTTCGTGCTTTTTCTCGGATGCTGTCGTAGTGGTTAACATTTATCAATAGATTATTATTATTATTTGGTCTACTAATTTAAGTATCAACGAGCTATATTGTTTTAGAAGTTAATTAACCTTAATCGTTTTTCTCGCAATAGTATAGTGGTGGTCTAAAGAATTATCGACCAGTGTTTCTGATTTTTTAAATTTGGTTAACTTTGCTTATGAGAGAGAAATAACCCCGAATGCCGTGGTATGGATGAGGGTGGGAAGAGTCAACTCACCTCTCGAAGTGCCTTAACATGGCCACGCGTATACAGCCACTGACAGAAAATTCCTACTCACTGCCTTCTCGCACCACGCGTATTGTTTACGAAATTATGAGGACGAAAAGCAAATGTCTGGCGATTTAACCTGGTTGGTGGACACGGAAGTTCACATAAGGGAGCTTGAAAACCCTGGTTCCAAGCCAACGGTGTACATGAGATCCAGGATCCTAAGGAAACAAATGGCGTATTGTTGGTCACCGGCTACCATAGGACTGTATCTCCTGACGTTGCTACGCTGCCCTGTGGATTAGACCTCTGGGTCAAAGGTCCAGGGGATGGGCCACTAAGAAAACCACCTGCTTTGGCTTGGGTACCCGGTCAGTATCCCAACCCTTACATGAAGCAAGTGGTTTGTGTAACGCATATGTATTCGGTGCCCATTTGTACCAATATTTATTTGTTTAAATATAAATAAATAAATAATAACTTGACGAATGAAAGTTTGTCACTCTAACGATAATTGAGTATAAAATCTGTTACCTGACAAAAAGTAGATCATGATCAGCAAATAGACTTTAGAGTACATTCGATCTAACTGAGAAAATTTGACAGTTATGGTTGGAGTTATAATAAGTTATCTTTTAATTTCATTTATTATTATTATTATTTAGCTTATCAATCATAGTAAATTTTTTACACAAACGCCAAAAAGTACCTCAGTATGACGTCAATATTATCTCATCATCCTGTATTTGTTAATAACTATACAAATCTGTACAAACCAAATCTAATAAACCATAATCTGAAATCAACTGATGAAACCAACTTCAAATGTACAAATGGTCCAACGTACAATGTTGATTTATTACAATGGCAAACGAATACATCAAGCAGTTCATTGGATCGGTTACGATTGCGCAGTAAGTATCAGTTTCATTTTCAAAATTGAGCTTCTGTTTTTCTAATTGTAACAAAAGATAAGAACTAATTTTAATGTCTTTATTTTAGCTAGGACGGTTTTAAATTGAAGGAGTATTTTGAATCTTAATCGGCTTAAGTGATCCCCTTTAAACTAAAGTAGGTGGATAGCCTATTGTTCAAACAAAAAGTAGATATACAGTGGATGTAGATAAAAATATCACACTTTGTGTGACTAAAAAATGACAGGAATTTTGACTGGGTTACAAAAACGTTGACATACTAAATCTTTTGTTATTTGAGTTTAATGTTTAACATGCTGGTTAAATTTCTAACCGATTTTTTGTCATACGGGAACAACTTACAAGGGAGTAGCTCTCGATTCTATATTTTTTATGTTGAACATGTCTCAACGGATTTAGACTTGAAATTCATTAGGTTGTGGTAATTTTCTGTCATAATTGAATGTTAGGTTTCTTTTCAGTAATTTTCTCGAACAAATATGATATTTTATGCCATTATTTTATGATAAATTAAATTTCAATGGTTGAGATCATGAGTCAGTTGAAGCTAGACCACCATGAAGAACCTGAAAGCACTGGATCTAGCTTTAATTGACTGTTGATCTCAACCATTGAAATTACTATAATATCCACAAGAACCCTTCTGATATAAATTGAATTGTTTGGAAAACTTTTAAAAACTACTTCATGACTCTCTGTGTTCTCCCAAATTCTAATCTTCTGAATTCTTCATGTCCCTTTTTTCCTCTTTCCAAATTTCTTTCACTGGATTATACTCTTTAAATAACATCTCCAAACCCTAATCTTCCCGATTACTGCTTATACTCTTATTACCTCTACCACTACGGGATTTGAATCGACAAGTGCATCTCTGTGCTAATGTGGTGTAGCAACTCGAACTGATGTACGTACGTACGTACGAAGTTCTATGTTGTTACTGACTGACTAAACTATAGTTTACAGAGAAGTTATGATCTACGTTGTGCATATCATCTGGGCTACATCAGTCTTCCTAAGTTCAATCATCAAGAAATCATAGATGTTATGAAGTACTGACAAAAATATGCAACGCTTAGAAATGTTGGCAGTAAAACACGTTGGGTTTTCTTTTTGGTGTATCTCGAAGCTTATCAGCTGAAGTTGGAAGGAAACAGTTCTCGATTTTTAGTTTCATTTCAGGATTATTAACATTCAACGAAAGTTGATTAGGTGGTGCATATATTTTGTATGAATAACAATAAATCAAGAATGACTTCTTATTAACTATAATGATGCGTTACAACCACACAGATAAGTTTACTGTATTTGAATTTGAGTTGAAGTATTATAACTTAATTGTTTCAAGAATGAATATGCTTTCGGAAGAACAATTTATTGAGAATAAAAGTTTTAAATGATGGAACAAAAATCATACTTTGTAGCTATCTGTTCAGGTGACTTCATAAAAGCGTCCATTATAATAAGAACTTTCAGTGGGTGAGCTACTTTGTTGATTCGATTTTCATGATTAGATATAAAGCCTCAATGTTTATGGGTTTAAGCATGAATAAGTATGATTTAAGTTTTTATTTTACTGAAAATATAGATGGTGCTGAGTAAGTGAATTGTTTACAGTCAATCAGTCAGTAGCAACGTAGAACTTCGTACGTACGTACATCAGTTCGAGTTGCTACGCCACCTTAGCACAAAGATGCAGTTGTCGATTCAAATCCCGTAGTGATAGAGGTGGTGAGAGTATAAGCAGTAATCGGAAAGATTAGGGTTTAAAGATTTTATTTAAAGAGTATAATCCAGTGATATAAATTTGGGAATAGAAATAAAGAGACAAGGAGGATTCAGGAAAGTAAGATTTGGGAGAACACAAAGAATGGATGCACCTTCGCCTTTACAAACGATTTTGAGCCATGTCATTCAGGGTCTCTAACTATCGGTCGCTATCATCTCGCGGTCCCCAACCAGGTAGTCCACATCTACCAACATGGCTCAGTCCACTTGTCAGTGACTTCATGGTTTTGTGCCATGTTTTGGTCTGGCCGCCCCTAGCTTTCTTCCAACCTACTCCTATACCACTAAACATCGCTCGTCGGGGCAGTTGGTGTTTGGGCATACGTAACACATGTCCCAGTCATCTCAACTGATGAAGTTTCACTACTTCATCAATTGATTTGCCATCCTTACCTAGTACCCGTTTCTTAACAACTGCGTTACTTACTCGTTGGTCCCAGGATATACGAGCAATGTTTCGAATACATATATGATCAATATTATCTAGTCTAAGGATAAACATCTACGAATTTAAGACACTGGATTTTCCGATTAACTTGCTTAAACACTTCCATTAAATCCAACCTCATTTGACGCTGAGGATCACATTATGCATTCCTCTCATTTACGCTAATAAACTAACTAGTCATTTGTTATTATAACGGACCGTACGTGGTATCCAGTGATTAAAAGCTATCTGTAAATAGCTATCTGTAACTCTTCGAGAATTACTGCCAGTCTCAAGCCCGGATAGAGGAGGAATGGGATCGGCAACCCCATCCCGCAGAAAAGAAACTGTGCTAAAAAAAACGCTAACCAGCAAATAGTCACCCAGTTGTTTTGTGTATTGATTTAAAATTGATTAAAAAGTTATTTCTGGAATTCTTCACAACTTAGTCCCGTATTGAGAGATAGTAATATCAAGTGAGCTTTCTAAATAAATTTTATTTTATTTACAACTGTACTCTAGAGAACTTTATCTATGTTTCATGTAAATTATCAGATAATCGTCGAAAAGATTATATTCGTGAAAATATTCGTCAACTTAGACAATTAGAAGACAGTATAACATTTAAAAAACGTGTTGCAGAACAATGTGGTAGATCAGTTCTCTCAACAGATCGTACACAAAACAATACATGCAACAAATTTATTACATGTCATCATGCACAAACTAGACAATCTCAATCAAATGAAAATCCTATATCTTCGGAGGTAATAAAAACAACTATATTTTTTTTACTTAATATAACGTTTGTGTGGTAGGAATTTCGACGTACTTACATCTGTTACTCCCAATGGAGCATAGGCTGCCGGCTAGCATTCTCTAACCCACTCTGTCCTGGGCCTTCCCACTTCTATCCAATTTTTGTTGATTTTTATCATGTCTGTCTCCATTTCTCGACGTAATATGTTCTTTGATCTTCCTTTTTTCCTTTGACCTTGAGGATTCCACTTGAGGGCATGCCTTTTGACGTAGTTGGGTGCTTTCTTCAATATGTATCTTATTCACTCCCAGCTCTTCTTCCTGATGAATTCCTCCGCTGTGATCTGGTTTGTTCTCTCCCATAGTAGGTTGTTGCTAACAGTGTCTGCTCAACGGATCCGAAGTATTTTGCGTAGAAAACTGTTAGTAAACACTTGTATCTTCTGGATGGTTGCTTTCCTAGTTTTCCAAGATTCCAGCCCTTACAGTAGAACTGTCCTAACATTTGTATTAAAAATTCTGACCTTGGCGTTGGTTGATAGACAGATCCTTGAGTTCTAGATGTTCTTCAGTTGTAAATATGCTGCTCTTGCTTTGTCGATCCGCGCCTTCACATCTGCATCAGATCCACACTGCCCAGATATGTTGAGGTTTTTACATCTTACAAATCTTCTTCGTCAAATGTGATTTGATTGTTGCATGCTGTGTTGTATCGAGGAATCTTGCTTTTCCCCTTTTGTATGCTGAGATCTATTGCTGCTGTGGTTGCTGCTACACTGGTCGTCTTCTCCATCATTTGTTGTTGCTATTGCGATAGGAGGGCCAAACCATCTGCGAAGTCTAGATCGCCCAGCTGCATCCTAGATGTCCACTGTATCCCATGCTTCCCCTAAGATGTTGACGTCTTCATTATCTAGTCGATCACCAGGAGAAAGAGAAGGCGTGAGAGTAAACAACGTTGCCTGACACCGGTCTTTACCACGAACGAGTCTGCCAACTGTCCTCCACGCACGATTTTGCAGTTTAATCCACCATATGAATTCCGTATGATATCGACTGTCTTCTCAGATAAGCCGTAGTATGGAAAGAGCTTCCATAGTGTTGTCCTATCCACGCTATCAAATGCTTTCTCGTCGACAGTGAAGTTGATGTAGAGTAACGAATTCCATTCAATTGATTGTTCTACAATGATCCGTAGTGTTGCGATTCGGTTTGTACACGATCGATCCTCACGGAATCCTGCCTGTTGATCTCGAAGTTGGGCCTCTATGGGGATACTGCCTGTCCCAAGCCCGGATAAAGGAGGAGGGTTGGGTATGAGGTTAGCGACCCCATCATATAGAAAACCAACTCGCTAAAAAACACTAACCAGAAAAAGTTATTCGAAAATTTCGACTATTTTTCATTAAAACTCTCATCACTGAAAATATAACTTCTCATTAAGACTTTGAGACAATACACCTTGAATCGTATCACTGATATAAGTAGTAAAGTAGCATCATTTCAATCACCTTACATTTAGATTGTTTAAATGTTTGTTGAATTCCTGTTTATTTATCGTTATCTTTAATAGTTAAATTTATGACTTAAATCTTAATAAATTTATTTACATGTTTATACCACTCAGTAGTCAGTTAATGCTTTAAAGTTAATTTCAGAAAGTTATCAGCATATACTCATTAGTGACTAGCTTCAACAAGTATTTCCTAGAGTTCTGGTGGGAAGCAGTGACCAGTGGAGTTCAACCGGGTCTGTCGTGAGATAGTAACTCACTGATGACAATGTTGGATGTGTCGCTCGATTTTGTGAATTAGTTGAAGTTAGACATTAACACCATTGGATGCCGGCTCAGTAGTCTAGAGGTTAAGTGTTCGCGCACGAGACCGATAAGTCATGAGTTGAAATCTCGCAAGGCGTGATCGTGGATGTGCACTGCTGAGAAGTCCTACAATAGGACGAAACGACCGTCCAGTGCTTCCAGATCTAGCTTCAATTGACTCATGATTTCAACTATTGAATTATTTTTATTATATAATAAACTGATTACTGTTAAATAATTGTGTTTAACAATGATTTTCTATTTGCTTATTAGACTGGATTTAATACATCAATTAAGTCATTATCAAAAACTGACCCGATCAAATCTAGTAAACAAAATAAATATAGTATTAATTTAAACAAAACTGATAATCCCAAATATCTACAATCAAACAACTCATCAATATCTACACAAACTGATAATTATATAGATCAATTGAAGCAAACTATTCCCCCACATATGCCTAATTCACATAATGTTTCTTCTAAAAATAAGGGACAATCTCATCAATCTTTATCATTAAGAACAAATAAATCTGATAAAAAAATACAACGAACAACATTAACACCAATTCAATCAATTAAAAAAACAGAATATTTACGTGCACATTCTCGTGATATTGAAGATGAAGTTGATCTAAAATATTTAAGTAGTATACCTATTTCACCTATACATAAACATTTGAATTCAGCTAAAACATCTGTACCAAAAGCTGAATCAGCTAAAAATGTAAGTTTATTTATTATATCTAATCTATGTTATCTAAAATAGCGAAGGCGAGATATCCGATTATCGAATAAGGGATGAGTATACTGTGCGACAGTTCGTTCTGTTCTACTTTACGACTGCGAAACGTGGCCATTAAGAGTAGAAGATAATCGTAAGTTACTAGTATTTGACGACAGATGCCTTAGAAATATTTGTCGCATCTGCTAAGATCACCAGATAAGTAATAGTGAGGTTAGACGCAGGGTATTAGGGAATGATGGTAAATCATTTGATGAGGTTGTGAATCTTCATCGACTGAGATGATTGGGCCACGTGTTACGTATGCCTGAACACCGATTACCACGACGTGCAATGCTAACCGGTGTTGGGGATGGTTGGAAGAAAGTTAGGAGTGGCCAAATCAAAACGCGGCATCAGTGCTTGAAGTCATTAACTTCTGATGTGATTTATGTTGGTAGATACACACTATTTTGCTGGTGTCCGCGCGACTATTGTAACCAGTGGTTGGTGATTCTGGATGACATGGCTCAGAACCGATCACAATGGTGTAGTGTATACAATCTCTGTCTTCATTTAAACTATGAGATTAAAATCTTCTCATATCTTTCTACGAACTAATTCTTTCTTCCTGTACTATATCGTGATATGCAATCTTTCTTTTATATATTACCACGACTGAATTGACTACTTTAATGGACTTGATCTTCATCTCGTTGTGCTAATGCGGTATGGCAACTTGGACCGATGCATATATGTGCCTGGTACTACGTTGTAGTTGACTGACTGACTTAAAAATAACGAATTCATGGTCATAATGATAAAGATATAAGTAAACGTATTTCACTGAAATCAATATTAATTTTCAGTGCTAAGTAATGTCATCTATAGGACTACCGAGAACGAAAAAGCCGGTGAACAAGTGTCCCATTTTAACTTTCAGCTCGTCAGAATTTTTCCTCCATGGGAAAACCAGGTATGGAGTTAGCATTGATTTTCAGTAGTTTTGTATGTAACGACAGTCCACCATAAAAATTTTATTATTGATCAGTAGAAGATTATCAGAACTATATTTATAGTTCTGATAATCTACGTTTTCTTATTACACTATCGAGATTTATGTAGGATAGATAAGAGAGCGAACATGTGCCATAAAACAGCTCAAAAAATAATAACGAATTGGCAGACTGAAGGATTAGATAAACGCTTCTGAACTCAGAGATCTGGCTTGAATTAATGGGTTTCCAATGCCTTTACTATGTAACATTTTCCTATCCAGCTTCCATTAGAACCAGTTTGTTTGACTTTATAAATAATTGTGAATAAAGATTTTGGTGGAGATAGATTATCAGAATTAACTAGATGTTCAGTAATCGAGTTATCAACGGATTTAGATTCACCTTTATTACGTGTGCTAGAAGGTGTTCGGATATGCGTTTGAAATTAGAATGCTTTATGCAGCCAATATAATATACTCCACAGCCGCAGGTTAACTGATGGATGGACACTGAAGTGCTCCAAAACGATAGTTAATCCTCGACACATCCTTGAGTCAGGCATTTACTGAAAAAGAACTCATTTGAATAAAAAACTTTGGATTTCGACAATTAGTTTCTTAAGATCTATGCAGCCGCATCCTCTTTGAACTAAATGTCCATAAGAAATATTTTTCGTAGAGTAGGAGTTCCTTCAACTAGGTGTTTTGGTTTAAGGCCACTGAAGCAGAGAGGAAATCCACTTCCTGATATTTTTCACTTTTTCTGTCGATCATGTCTTCAGTACATTATTCTAGCTCTAAAGAATAAAGATAATTTTCTCTTTGTACTAAATGTAATTAAACTTTGCGCACTTCATATTGACTTTCTATATATAGACCTTTGTGAATAGACGTACGGCTTTTTTCTTAGCCAAACATCTAGAAACTCAAATTCTGCGTTTATCTCTGACTCAAGTATGAATGTAATCGGCTAGTGGGGTCTATTGCACACCTGTAGTATTTTATTAAGACAATTGGAGGCTGTTGAGTAATACAGCAGATTGAATGGAGTTCAACTTGCACATGATTGGACTCCTGCTCAGTGGTTCGAAGCTTAGGTATTCGGGGGCAAGACTGAAGGTCCCTGGTGGCAAGGTCGTGGGTGCTCATTGTTGAAGAGTTTCATGCTAAGAAGAAGCAGACGTTGTGGTTCAGATTCACAGTGGTTGTCTAACTCCGATCAGTTCGAGATGTCAATAATATCATAAGCATTTTTTGCTTCCTATTAAAAGTAAGACAAATAGACAGTTTTATAATCTAAATTGTTTTCTATATTAATAGGTTGAATTTATCAGACGTGATATTAATTTTGTTCGTGCTAATGCTCATATGGCAACAGCACCAAGTGTAAAAAGAACTGGAATTCGACGGATAGCAAGTATGAATTCTTTATCGTTAAATGATAAAACTCATCTAACGGATTCAAATATAACAAAATCACAAATATCGCAAACATCAAGAATGTGGCCTGAAAGACGATTAAAAAGTGGGGTTATCCCACCTTAGTAAGTTTTATTAGTCTATCCATGTTACATCATATTTAAGTAATCAATTATTTGAACCAAAAACGATCACTTATTTATATCTGTTACTACTCCTAATGGAGCATAGGGCGCCGACCAGCATTCTTCAACCCACTCTGTCCTAGGCCTTCCCAGTTCTATCCAATTTTTGTTGATTTTTATCATGTCTGTTTCCAATTCTTGACGTAATGTGTTCTTTGATCTTCCCTTTTTTCCTTTGACCTTGAGGGTTTCATGTGAGGTCATGCCTTGTGATGCAGTTGGGTGATTTCCTCATTTCATTTAGAAAAAAATATTACACAAAGGTTAATCCTATAAGGATTGCCAATGTGTTAAGAAAGTTATCCGCATTAATTAAATATAATTCGGCTTAGTAATACCATCAGTTTGTACTGAATTATATAAATTCAAATTGTCAACTATTACTCTTTTCTGTAAAACGTTGTATTTGAGTGTGATAAAAATCAATAAAATTGTACTGTATATACGTATGAATGAACTATGAAAAGGGTGAGTGAGGTAGTTGATTGAGCTTTTAGTATCCCATAATTGGAAAGTTGTATAATCTTTAATATGATAATTTGCATAGCTTGTCACCAATACGAGATCCGAATGGTTATAAATGGACTTGATTACTCTAGTTTGGTTCATTCTCAACAATTACATTATTATGGGACATCGCTATTGTGGATAGACGATTAAGAAGAATTTCAGTTATTCGATTGCTTTTTAAAACGTCTTGTCCATAACAAGATAACTTGTTGAGCCAAAGAGAAGAAGACACCTAATAAAATGCGGAATCTGTATACATCTGGTTGACTTGGCTACGTGATAACCATCTCAGTTACTGTCTTTTCTGATGTTTGATATTGTTTGAAGTTGGTAAGGTACTTAGGACAAGACAATATCAGAAATGACAGAATGCCTGCAAAAATATATGGGTATTTCATTTTAATTTCGTAGTGAATACATATGCTGTTCTATTGTATGTAGCCCAAGGATCATCAAATTTTGCACGTAACACTACTGTTCATTCACTGTAGTGTAAAGCTATTGTTTAGATATTGGAAACTCACTAGTTATTCACTGTCATCATTGGTACCTGGATCCCTGCTGATCTAGTTAATTTTATGAGTCATGAATTCCCATCAAAACTTCATGACGTCGCTTTATAATACACAAACCTAATATTCAAATTAAACATATTTATCCAAACACCTCATTAAAACATTGAATTAGTCAAATATTGAGTTATTTATGCATTATAAAAGAGTCAAAGTCTAATAAAGCTGTTTAATATATAAACTGATTGTCTACAATAAAATAACAAGAAATGTACATGAATGTATCATCATTTCTCTCTAGCCTAATCAAAATGAAACAAAAAGAAAAAGAACGGATTCAAAAAGAATTGGAAAACCAACCTGATCCAGATCAACCTCCAGGACATCAGAGAATGCCGGAAGAAGAACGTCTAAATACATTAGAATTGCTTAACAAAGGTATTAATTCATAGATGTGATTTTCATCCAAATATAAATGAAATCAGATATCTTATTCAGAATAATATGTAAACAGCATATGATATGTCGTACTTGCTTACTCCTGTTACCCCTCGAGGAAAAATATAAACCGCCCACCAGAATTGTGCATCGAAATCTGTCTTGCAAAATCCTTCCCAGTCGTTATTCATCCTTTTCATATCTGCTGATTCGCGATGCAAGCTGTCCCTTGTTCTTCCTATTTTTGTTTTTCCTTCAGAATTTCAAGTTGGCGCTTGCCTCGTCATGCAATCTGATGATTTTCTCAATGTATGTCTTGTCCACTTCCAACATCTTTTCCTAATTTCCTCTTAATCCGGAAGCTGGTTTGTTCTCTATAGAAGATCTAGGTCATATGAGAAGTCCGAATCGTCTAGCTGCATCCAAACTGCCTACCGTATTCCTTGCTTCCCCTCAGATATGGAAGTCTTTATAACCCAGTCAACCACCAGTAGAAAGAATAAGTCGGAAAGTAAGCAGACTCATCTGACTCCGGTTGTCACTTGGAATGTATCTGTCAACTGTCCTCCATGCACGACTTCGCAGTGTAGTCCGTCGTATGAATTCTGGATGATGTTGATGAGATAACCGGTTACACCATAAAGTCGGAATACGTTCCATAATGTTCTCCTATCCACACCGTCAAACGCTTTCTCATAGTTAATGAATTTGATGTATAGTGACTAATTCCATTCAATGGATTGTTGAACGATGGTTAGTAGTGTTGAGATTTGGTTCGTGGACTACCGATCCTTATGGAATCCGACCTATTGGTTTCGAAGCTAAGTGTCCACTGAATCATTCAACCGGTTCAGCAACACTCTGTCGGAAAATTTTTCTGTTACTGACAGTAGTGTGATGCCCTTATAGTTCTCACACATACTGAGATTTCCTTTCTTTGGTATCTTGATGAGGTATTCTTCTTTCCATTCTATCGGCATTTGTTGCTCCTCCCAAATCTTTCAGAATAGGATGTGAAGCATGTTTGCAGTTACTTCAATATCTGACTTCAGTGCTACAGCCGATATGTTGTCAGGTGCTTCTGCTTTCCCACAGTTGATCTGTCTGCCATCCTGATATATTCTATTGTTGATGGAGTGGCAACCATAGGAATGTGCGTGTGTGCTTCTTCGATGTCTGGTGGGTTCAGTGGGATTGGTCTGTTCAAGAGTTCTTTAGAGTGCTCTACCCACCTGTTCCACCGTTTGTCAGTTTCAGTGGTTGGCTTACCTTGTTTGTTTTTGACCGCTAGATCTGGTTTACTAAACATCCTTGTTAGTTTATTCATTGTGTCATATAGTTGTTTCATATTTCTCTTCTCTTGCTACTCCCTTCACTGTCGTTGCTAGATGTTCCACATACTTCCGTTCATCAGTTCTAATGCTGATCTTCACTCGCTTATTTAGCTGTTGTTAATTGCTGTCTTGTTCTTCATTTCTCGAGTCATGTCCAGGGTTGAGATAGAAATCCATTCGTGACTATCTGATTAGTTCTTCCAGTATGCCACATTGTACGGATATTTCATGTACCTATAATAATTGTTGCTTTGGTTGTTAGAGGGGCCATCGGCCTCATGATTTTTGAAGAATCTCGGCTTTTACCATGAGGTGTCATAATTCTTGTAAATGAAGATCTTTCAACTCCCAGATCAGAGTTTAAGTTGTTTACTCTGCTCAGCGTTCTCTCCATCAAGCTTGTTTTTCTACGGGATTGAGATGCTGACCCCACGTCCAACCCTTCTTCTTTATCCGGGCTAGAGACCGGCAGTGAACAAACAGGCACCTAGCCTACTGAATATTATATATGTAATTACCTTTCCTCCCATTGATTTCTACTTCAGATTCCCTGAGTTTAATAGCTTGTAACTGTATTGACTAAAGTATTATCTACTGTTAATTTAGTTCTCTATCCTGGGTCTTGAATCCTGGATCTAATCTAACGTGATTAGTCTCATTATCGTATTAACGTATTATCGTAGTGTACTTGAGAGAAAAAAATATTTCAAACCATCCGTTATATCAGTTTACAAATTATGTTGAATGAAATGACAAGGGAATAGATATTAACTTTCCTTTTATTCCCTTTCTCAGTAGTGCTTAAGGGTACATATTTTTCTAAAACTAAAACTGGTAGGTTTTCTTAAGATAGATGATTTAATGGTGATTTTATTTTGCCTTTCTGGACACCAAATCACTACCTGCTTCACACTATTATTATTATTTTATTATTTAAACACATAAACTTTGGCACAAGGAGGCACCAAATAGATATGCGCCAAATAAATCATTCGATTTGTGTGAGGGCTGAGATACTTCCCGGGTGCCCAAACTGAAGTGGGTGGTTTCCTTAAGAGGACACACCCGGAGCCTTCGACCTACAGATCTGATTCCCAAGGTAGTGGAGCATGGTAAGGAGATGCCCTCCCATGGTTGCCGGTGACCAACGATTGGTTCATACGCCATTTGTTCCTTCAGGATCCTGTAGTCTATTTGTATCATTTGTTTGGAATCAGAGTTTTTCCAACTTCGTAGGTGGATCCTACATATCCACCAACCCGGTTAAAGCGCCGGACATTTGCTTTTTGTCCTCTCAATTTCGTAAAAAACATCCACGCTGCGAAAGGGCAGTGAGTAGGACTTGTATGACTGGTTGTATGCACGTGGCCATATGAGAACATTTCGAGGGGAGAGTTGACTTTCCCCATTCTGCCGTACCAGAGTATTTGAGGGCTTCATGTTAAAGTGATGTTACGTTTCGCTGATCTAAATATTTTTAAAATGATCTTTCACTAATTCTAGAATAATTTTAAACAGGAGATTTTAGGAAATTTATAGTAACATCCTCTTTAAATAGTGACATTCAACAATAAAATTTTAATTATCACGTAAAACGTTGTTGGAACTTGACTTCTGTAAAATTAAGATTTCTGAGATTTATTTTCACGGCTCTGAACATTATCAAGGTTGTTGAACCATCTAAAATGAATCTCTTTTGCCAAATAGAACTCTTCTTCCACATTTCTCGATCTTAATTCCATAAAGTGTGAGAAATAGCCAGTCATGTTGTTATTTTAAAATGGCTAATAATTGGTCAGATGAAAATTGATTTTTTTCTCCAACACTGAATAATGATATCATGGGGCTGCATCTTCTGACTTTGCTCCACTGTCTTGTGAATCAGACCTTTTATGTCAAAGACTTCGAGTGTGGCACCCTAAGAAAAAACCACCTACTTCAGTTTGGGCACCCGGGCAGTATCCCAGCCCTCACACAAATCGAATGATTTATATGACACATATATTTTTGGTGCCTCCTTGTACCAATGTTTATGTGTTTAACTAAATAAATGATATTAACAACTTTGATGAAGTTTTGTTCTCTGAGCTGGATGATTTAGTCGTGAACACAACCTCCATCAAAATCATCCACTTGAGCTACAAATCTTCTCCACCATCTCATTATGATATTAATAATTAGAAATTTAATTATTTACGATACATTAATTACACTTTGATTTTCTCTATAGCTCATACTCAGTTGTCAGAGGAATTTTCTCACCTCCCAGTACGTATGGATACATTGAGAATTCGTTCTAGACGTGCAGAAATTGAAAGTCGTCTCAGTGAATTAGAACAAGCTATTGAAATATTCAGTAAACCGAAAGTATTTATTAAACCTGGTTAAATACAAATATGACTTAAAATAACATGGTCAATAATGTATAAAATATTGTCATGAACAACTTCTATGATAATCAGCTGTACTTCACATCATATAATGACCGAATATTTCGAATCATTTTTTGTTTGGGTGAATAGTTTTACCGACTATTTCTTCTGGTACAATTAGTTTACCATGTTGTTATTGTATGTATATGTATGTTTAATCTCTCAATCGATTCCCATAACAAAAGAAATTCAATGAAATGAATAGTATTAGTTATTTTGATGGAGTTTTGTTCTCTGAGCTAGATTGTTTGGTCGTGGATCTCCACCATCTCAAGGAACAATAATGGGGCGGATTTGTATGCATAAAGCATACAATTCTTTTTCAACCTAGTACATAACAATAGTATCATGTACTGTCCCATCGCCCTTGGCAGATCAGGCAACCCCAAAGTTACATGAACACCATCAGGGCATACGACAAGCTAGGTACCCTTCCACCATTTCATAGTGTCAGTTAATTTGGAAATTAATTATTTAGAATAAGCCGATGACATAGTTCTATTTGGTGAAAACGCTGACAAAATGCAGAGCCTTCTGACCACTCTAAGCAACAATGCAAGCATGTTTAGGATGCTATTCTCCCCCTCGAAATGCAAAATGTTGCTTCAGGATTGGGTTACATCGACACCTGAATTAATGATAAGGAGTGAAGTAGTTGAGTGTGTCGACCGCTTCACTTATCTTGGAAGTCTCATCAGCCCTTGTGGTCTGGTGTGTGACAAAATCTCAGGACGGATATAGAGGGCTCGACTAGCTTTTGCCAACTTGTGTCATTTATGGCGTAGGCGAGATATCCGTCTACCAACCAAAGGACGGGTTTACTGCGCAGCAGTTCGTCCCGTCCTACTTTATGGCAGTGAAGCATGGCCGCTAAGATTAGAGGATATTCGTAGGTTAATAGTATTCGATCATAGGTGTCTTCGAAGCATTGCTCGTATATCCTGGGACCAACAAGTAAGTACTGTAGTTGCTAGGAAACGGGTACTAGGTAAGGATTGCAAATCAACCGATGAAGTAGTGAAACTTCATCAGTTGAGATGACTGAGACACGTGTTACGTATGCCCAACGACCGACTGACCCGGCATGCGATGTTTCATGGTGTAGGAGTAGGATGGAAGAAAGCTAGAGGCGGCCAAACCAAAACATGGCACAAGTTCATGAAGTCACTGACAAGCGGACTGAGCCATGTTGGTAGGTGTAGACTACCTGGTTGGGATCCGCGACGCGATAAAAACCGATGGTTAGAGACCCTGAATGACATGGCTCAAAATCTTTTGCAATGGTGCAGGTGCATCCACTCTTTGTGTTCTGCCAAATTCTAATCTGAATTCTTCATGCTCTTTTTTTCCACTCTCCAAACTTATTTCATTGGATTATACTGCTTGAATAACATCTTCAAACCTTAATCTTTCCGATTACTGCTTATAATCTTACTACCTCTACCACAATGGGATTTGAATTGACAATGTGGTATGGCAACTCGAACTGATGTACATACGTACGAAGTTCTACGTTGTTGATGACTGACCGACTGATAAAAAAAAATTGACAAGCTAAATAAAGAATTGAATGAAGTAAGTTTTAATACGCATGACTCAGGGGACATTTTATTTTACAAAGCCGTCTTAACTCCTACACATTTATAAAGTTAGCCAGTCGTGGGAGACGCATTCGAGTCTGATGCCTTGTGTATTCTATCCAGAAGTATTACTGAATTACTATATTTGTTTCAACATCTGTTCTATAGGATTAAGCAATTTAATGAACTAGTGTTTAGATTAATTTGTAAACTTCTATTGATTATTTATTTTATGAACAGGTTTTAAGGATCATTGATAGCAGTGTTCATCACTTACTAAGTGACAGGGAAATAAATAATTCGTTGAATTTTATCAGAAATTCTACATTACACATTAGATTCAAGTCTTCGTATGATATAAAATAATTACTGTTCGGTTCAATTGTATGATAAAAGAATTTGTCCTATCACCCCATTAGTTAGAAGAAATCCATAACTGAGATAAGACTTGCAAGTTGATTAGACGCTTTATTTTGTAATTCGAATAGTATAACATTGGACGGGAAACAAAAGATTCCTGGTTAATCTTGTATTATTAATCTGCGTCTACATTATATTGATGTATCTTATGTTATCTATATCGCGGTTCAGTTTTTATGCAAGCCAATTCTGATATCAAAGTTTCAACTAAGTGGACAGCAACCATATTAATGTTTGTTACATCATTTTGTGTTACGAATTTCTTATTGTAACTATTGTTAATAAAACAATAACAGATTGATGTAGAATGGGTAATTACTACAACCTGATGTTTGCAAACTAATAAGTGATAGGCGAGGCTATAATTTATGGCCAACCTTAAGTGACTTTGGAAATCATTAGGCAATCAGAGGACAATTAATACGAAATGAGATACATTAAAGTGGATGTACTTCTTTTACATGATTCAAAGACTTATCAAGGTTTGAAAGGGGTTCTGAAATCGTATTGCATAATGTAGAGGAACTCATCCATATGTCTCCATGATAGGGTCGTAGAAACTACTTTAGCCTCGACAACATAGCTTCAATATTGTTAGTGTGCACTCTTGTTGTAGAGTCCAAAAAATGGTGATTGTGGACAATGACATGATGCATATAACCAAGTCTATGCAGGCATTGGTAGGTTCTTCAATCATCCGAATGTATTGTAGTAGCTGGCTGCACGTATTCCCGTATAGTTGGTATTATTGTCGGTTTCTGACCCTTTGGAAGTGTCCCTTTTGGGTTGATCTGTCGTAAATTCCAAGTACTTGTGAGGTATATTTATGGAAGTGCTACTTACCTAGTCTTCCTTAATACTACGTCCTCTGTTAAATCTTCGCCTCCTCACTACTGTTTCAACGATTTTGCGAACTCCTCCACACGTTTCATTTTTATTGCACATATATCTCTACAATACTCATACAACTGAACAGCTGAAGCTTCAATAACATCTGCAAATGTTGCAGCCAGTGTTACTGGTGATTTTATTATCCAATTTGCAACAATCATCATGATTCTCCTTAGTCTCAATTGGGATCGAGCGAAGAAAGTTCCTGTTCGAACAAACTTCTTCCTCGAACATGAATAACATCGAAAGACAATCTCATCACGGTAGTCTGCACACGGTACGACAGTCACAAATAAAGAAAATTCTAAGTGGTCCCATTTGTTATAGCCCCTCAATGATCACGTCTTCTATAAAATCCACTCTAAACTGATCGTATATGAGCATTAGGAACTGAAATGGGCGTCGTGACCTTGAACTCCCACAAACCCTTCTGATTGACTCGTCCATAAATTATAATCTCGTCACAAAAGCTTATTTCAATAGTTGAAATCCTGAGTCAATTGAAACTAGATCACCATGAAAAACCTGGCAGCACTGGACGGCCATATCGTCCTATTGTGTGACTCCTCAGCAATGCTCATCCACGATCCTGCCTCGTGAGATTCGAACCCAGGATATATTGTGGTGTGGATTGCTTATATCCACACAAGTAGTATATAACGACGATCAGTCATAGAGTGTATTTCAGTAGAAAATCGATGAGGAAAGAACGGTAACGGAATACAATTGGTAATAAAAACGCATGAACAATGAAATATGAGACAACAGATTGATGTTTGCAACAGGAACAGTCAAGTTTGATATTTTGGAAATTAACGATTTACTATATAGTTCTCAGATGTTATTTAAGATGCTCTGTAATTTTCTGCTCAAATACATTCGATTATCCCCACTGATGTTTTCGTTCACTAAACTATCAGTCTCAAGCACGATCGTGTAACTATTAGTATTATATCTTGAATTTCCAGGATGTTTCAGGTTAAACTATTACTTACTTACTTACCTACGCCTGTTACTCCTAATGGAGCATAGGCCGCCGACCAGCATTCTCCAACCCACTCTTATCCTAGGCCTTTTATTCCAAAATAAAAAGTTAGATTATTGTAAAAGAAAGATTATTTATTAATTATTCACTTCAATTACAAGTTTACCACGTTTTCCTTTAGTATACAGTCGATGAAATGCATCTGGTACATGATTAAATTGATAAACAGTATCCACTGGTATTATTAATTGTTTATTTGAAAGTAAATTTAAAAGATAATTTAATACTTTATTATTTGGTTTAAAAAATACCCAACGTATTTTATTTAAATTAGTATTATAAACATTATTGTTAGAGAATAATGCTGCAATATTACTATACAATAATTGTGAATATGCTATTCCACTACCAATAAATGGTCCATAATAATCATTTAAATATAATAATGGTGGATTAAGCATAATATAACGTGTACGATTTGATGATGTATTTAAATAAGTTAACATAGATGGTAGTTGAGGTAATAAATGATCAATGAAATGACATTGTTTCAATTGTGTATTCGACGACGACGACGACGACGATGATGATGATGATGATGATGATAATGTGGTGAATGAAGTTGTTGTATTCAAATAATCCGGTCGAATACAATCAAGAATTAAATCATATTTCATTGTTGTTTGAATATTTGTCGGATGTGGAAATATCTAAAATATAAAAATGGGAAATCTATTAAATTTAAAGTATATACAATAATGATATTAGAAGTAAATTTATTCAATCCAATCTAGTTATTTGAATCAATTCAAATATCTAACTGCAACCATTAATTCTAGTCAAGAAGAACAAGTTACATGTTCATTTCATAGAAATTTAAATTATCTGGTGTTTATTGCTATCGTCCAGAAATAATAAAAACAATGAGAGAAATAGTTCAGCTATGAAATATACAATCACAAATAATTCTTTCAATTAAAGAAGTTACGTTCGCTTTTATGAAGAAAGTTACAGAAAGATCGCCACTAGCTTCTATTCCGAACATCTGTAGTCACTGTTGTGATAACTTTGGGAGATCAACCAGGGAGTAGTGAAGGACCAATAGAAGCCAGTCCTTTGCAGCTTTCTTCCATACCACGACACCATGTCATGCACTGACCACCTCTCCGCTTCTTCCAACCAGTCCCAGAGTCGGCAAATAATGCACGACGTGGAATTCTCTGAGACGACATTCGTAGAACATGTCCAAGCCACCGAAGTCGGTGTTTCAAGATGGCGACACCAATTGGATTATCGTCTGTGCACCTGAACACACGATGCCGAACCTCTGCATTACTAACATGTTGTTGCCACTGGATGTCAGCGATGATCGAACACAGAGAGTCGTCTAACGTCCTCAACTCAAGAGGCCAGGTTTCACAAGCATAGAGCAAAACTGCTCTCACTGACGCGTTGTAGATCCGACCTTTTACAGCCAGACTAACATCACGAAGGCGCCAAAGGTGGCCCAGATTGGCATAAGCCGCTCTGGCTTTCACTATTCGTGCATTGATCTCATCACTCACACCCCCACCAGCACTTATGCAGCTACCCAGATACACGAACTTCTCGACTACGTCTATCTGCTCACCGTCCAGGGTGAGTACAGGATTAGAATCCTGCCAGTCTTGTAGAAGTACTTTGCACTTCGAAGGTGCAAAACACATACCATACCTACGGACATTGATTGCCAACTGATTAAGTGCGGATTGCATGCCTTGGGCATTATCGCACAGTAAGACAATATCGTCTGCATACTCAAGGTCGAGAAATCTTTCTCCAGGCAACAGATCCACAGCGCCATTACTTACATTCATCAGAGCTGTTTCCAGAATGTCATCGATGGCAAAGTTGAAGAGGAATGGTGAGATTGGGCAACCCTGCCTAACCCCACTGCTCGAATGGAACAATAGAGAGAGGTGGTTGTATGCCTTCACTCTACCCGAGTTGTTTGTATATAGGGCCTTCAGGATGTTAATAAACTTCTCAGGCACACCCTTCTTCAATAGACAATCCCAGAGAACAGTCCTATCCAACGAATCGAAGGCAGCCCTGATGTCAAGAAACACTACGATTGTTGGCCTTTGAAAAGTATGGCGGTGTTCTAACATTTGGCGGAGGGTGAAGATATGATCAATACATCCTCGACCGGGACGAAACCCAGCCTGCTCCTCGCGAGTCAATTTTTCTCGAGTTTCGAACAACCTACGAAGTATGACGGAAGCCAATAGCTTGGACGCAATCGGAAGTAGACTTATCCCCCGATAGTTGTTACAGGAACGACGTGAACCCTTTTTAAAGATAGGGACAACTATCGACTCATTCCATGACGTTGGCACACTCTCTAATTCCCAAACCTTTGTAAACAACGTCGTCAATTCCTTAGTCAGAAAGTCACCACCATCTTTAAAAAGAGCCGGAGGTAAGTCATCTGGGCCAGGTGATTTGTAACGCTTCAAGAGTTGGAGTTCCTTGCGGACTTCCGCCTCATTTGGTGGATCAGTCGTCACCGGCCATGGAGGGCAGGACAGTCTGACCGATGTTGCCGGAGCAGCAGGCCAGTTGAACTGCCCTTCGAAGAATTCTGCCCATCGTCCAAGACGTCGATGGATGTTAGTGATTGGCATCCCATCATCCTCGCAGATTGTTTCACTCACACCAGACTTCTTGCTGCCAGTGGCTCGGATGAGTTGGAAGAGCTTCCGGCAGTTACCAGATGCAGCTGCTGCTTCCAGCTCATTAGCGCTCTCCGATCACCAGGTTTCTCGGTCCTTACGCAAGCTTTGCCCAATTTCCTTACGTAACATCCTTCGTTTATGGTCAAACTCACGGTCACCCGGAGTAGACCGACGGGCTTCAATGAGTTGTAAGGAACCAGAAGAAACTCAGTGCTTATAAGCGGAGCGTTTTGCGAACTCACAACTGACTGTACCCGCCATTTTCATGGCGTCATGAACTTGCAACCAATGCTCATCTATACTTTTCGGTGGAATGGTAGCTAGCTAGGTTGGATACTTAGTTGTAACAGAAGTTGCAACTAATTTGCTGATATCAATCCTTTGGTGGTGGTCACTTCGTTGGCCACTGAAAAATAAGGTAAGATTGGCGCAGACCAAGGCATGGTCAGAGTCCAGATAGGTACTCCAAAAGGAGCGGCAGTCTTGTACATAACCACGCCAGCGGTAGCTGATCGCGATGTGATCAATCTGAGTCCAGGCTTGAGATGCAGAGGGAGGACGCCAGGTGGCACATCGACGATGACTGTGCCGAAAGTTAGTGCTAGCCAGAAACAGGTTGTGGTCTGTGCAAAGTTGCAGTAGACGGTCCCCGTTATCTGACCTGCGACCAACGAGTCCCCATCGGCCACCTAAACGACTCTCTTCTGTGCCTAGACGCCCGACCTGAGCATTCAAGTCTCCGGCTAGTACTACAATATCTGTCGAACGCACTTTCTGGAGAAAAACAGTTAACTGATGGTAGAATTCATCGAATTCACGAAGATGTCACAGGATCCCTGGATAAACCCACGTAAAATAAGCTTTTTGAAGCGACAGATGGGGAGAGAATTTATAGTACTTCACTAGAGCATTGAATAAGGGACTCGGATAGACAACAGATGTCAATATTAAGGCTTTCTGAAGATATAATCAACACTATCTATTGTTCGATCTGCATTAGTGTGCGATCGTTGAAGGAAGCCAGTATGAGTGGTATAGTTGATCACAGAAAGTTTGTTTCAGTATTTGTATTCGGTGGTAGTATTCAGCTTTCGACCAGTCAGTGACTTGGGGTCGTTTATATAGGACAAGGTTTTCAACATAGCGAGTGGCTGTTTAAGTTGGAAAATAAGGATACACAAAGTGGGAATAAAAGTGAGTATATAAAGTGACATAGTATATGAAAAAATAAAAATGTATGTTATCAAATGAATAAGAGTTGTCTGAATATTATTTGGAGCAAGAATAGTATTTCCAGTAATTATTGCCATTTCATTTTATTTGTGTGTGGGATGTGATACTACCAGGGTGCCCAGACCGAAGCAGGTGATTTTCTTAGGAGGCCACATCCAGAGCCTTCGACCTATAGGTCTGATCCATAAGGCAGTGGAGAAACGTTAGGAGATGCAGTAACATGGTAGCCGATGACCAACAATAGGTTTATATGCCATTTGTTCCTCCAGGATCCTGGACCACATGTGCACGATTGGTTTGGAATAAGGGTTTTCCAACTCCCCTATTTGGCCCCCTGAATGCCCTGGTACGGCCGAGAGTGGGGAGAGTCCGCTCTCCCTCTCGAAATACTCTCACACGGCCACGGCGCTTTAACCGGATTCCAAATCAATGGTGCACATGGGCTCCAGTATCCTGCGGGAACGAATGGCGTATGAACCAATCGTTGGTCACCGGCTACCATGGGACTGCATCTCCTTACGATGCTCCACTGCCTTGTGGGTTAGACCTTTAGGTCAAAGGCTCGGGGAGTGGCCCCCTAAGATAACCACCTGCTTCGGTTTGGGCACCCGGGCAGTATCACAGCCCACACACAAATGATGAACTCTTTATGTCTATGGAAATTACTTTTGTCGCTTTGAAAAACAAACAATTGATTCAGATTATTATCATTACAATTATTGTCATTATTAATACTAATATTATTATTACTACTATTATTGTCATTATTGTTATTATTATCATTATTATTATTATTTTCCACATTATTCACCCTCTTTTATACTTATACAGCGGCTCGTCTTTGGTGGAATTCCGACTGTATCTAAACGTTCTCGAGTCACTGTCCGGTTGAAAATTGTATGTTACCACCGAATACGAGGACTGAAGCAGATTTTCTGAAACCACGTGCACCATTCAAACTGGCTGCCTTCAACGTTCGCACATTTATGCAGGTCGGACAACAGATAGGGCTGGCTATGTCTTTGGAAAGTCTTAATATCGACGTGTGTTGTCTATCCGAGACCCGTATTCAAGACTCTGGCGAAGTACTACAAATTCGATCTCCATCTGTCGCTTCGAAAAGCTTGTTTTACGTGCGCTTATCCGGGGACCCTGTGGCATCTTCGTCTGGTCTTGCTGGCGTTGGTGTCGCACTGAGCGCTAGAGCTGAGGCAGCACTAGTCGATTGGATCCCCATTAACAGTCGGTTATGTGCTGTTAGATTAGAAAGTTCCATCAAAGTGAGAAGAAATCGGCGTGAGAAACGATGTCTTTTCGTCATCTCCGCCTATGCCCCGACAGATTGCAGCCCGGATGCAATCAAGGATGAGTTTTACCACCAGTTATCAGTTCTTCTCCAGAAAGTGCGTTCGACAGATATTGTAGTACTAGCCGGAGACTTGAATGCTCAGGTCGGGCGTCTAGGCACAGAAGAGAGTCGTTTAGGTGGCCGATGGGGACTCGTTGGTCGCAGGTCAGATAACGGGGACCGTCTACTGCAACTTTGCACAGACCACAACCTGTTTCTGGCTAGCACTAACTTTCGGCACAGTCATCGTCGATGTGCCACCTGGCGTCCTCCCTCTGCATCTCAAGCCTGGACTCAGATTGATCACATCGCGATCAGCTACCGCTGGCGTGGTTATGTACAAGACTGCCGCTCCTTTTGGAGTACCTATCTGGACTCTGACCATGCCTTGGTCTGCGCCAATCTTGCCTTACTTTTCAGTGGCCAACGAAGTGAACGCCATCAACGGCTTGATGTTAGCAAGCTGGTTGCAACTTCTGTTGCAAGTAAGTATCGAACCGAGCTAGCCTCTAGGCTAGCTACCACTCCACCGAAAAGTATAGATGAGCATTGGTTGCAAGTTCATGACGCCATGAAAATGGCGGGAACAGTCAGTTGTGGGTTTGCGAAACGTCCCGCTTTTAAGCACTGGGTTTCTTCTGGTTTCTTACAACTCATTGAAGCCCGTCGGTCTACTCCGGGTAACCGTGAGTTTGACCATAAACGAAGGATTTTACGTAAGGAAATTGGGCAAAGCTTGCGTAAGGACCGAGAAGCCTGGTGGTCGATGCGTGCTAATGAGCTGGAAGCAGCAGCTGCATCTGGTAACTACCGGAAGCTCTTCCAACTCATCCGAGCCACTGGCAGCAAGAAGTCTGGTGTGAGTGAAACAATCTGCGAGGATGATGGGATGCCAATCACTAACATCCATCGACGTCTTGGACGATGGGCAGAATTCTTCGAAGGGCAGTTCAACTGGCCTGCTGCTCCGGCAACATCGGTCAGACTGTCCTGCCCTCCATGGCCGGTGACGACTGATCCACCAAATGAGGCGGAAGTCCGCAAGGAACTCCAACTCTTGAAGCGTTACAAATCACCTGGCCCAGATGACTTACCTCCGGCTCTTTTTAAAGATGGTGGTGACTTTCTGACTAAGGAATTGACGACGTTGTTTACAAAGGTTTGGGAATTAGAGAGTGTGCCAACGTCATGGAATGAGTCGATAGTTGTCCCTATCTTTAAAAAGGGTTCACGTCGTTCCTGTAACAACTATCGGGGGATAAGTCTACTTCCGATTGCGTCCAAGCTATTGGCTTCCGTCATACTTCGTAGGTTGTTCGAAACTCGAGAAAAATTGACTCGCGAGGAGCAGGCTGGGTTTCGTCCCGGTCGAGGATGTATTGATCATATCTTCACCCTCCGCCAAATGTTAGAACACCGCCATACTTTTCAAAGGCCAACAATCGTAGTGTTTCTTGACATCAGGGCTGCCTTCGATTCGTTGGATAGGACTGTTCTCTGGGATTGTCTATTGAAGAAGGGTGTGCCTGAGAAGTTTATTAACATCCTGAAGGCCCTATATACAAACAACTCGGGTAGAGTGAAGGCATACAACCACCTCTCTCTATTGTTCCATTCGAGCAGTGGGGTTAGGCAGGGTTGCCCAATCTCACCATTCCTCTTCAACTTTGCCATCGATGACATTCTGGAAACAGCTCTGATGAATGTAAGTAATGGCGCTGTGGATCTGTTGCCTGGAGAAAGATTTCTCGACCTTGAGTATGCAGACGATATTGTCTTACTGTGCGATAATGCCCAAGGCATGCAATCCGCACTTAATCAGTTGGCAATCAATGTCCGTAGGTATGGTATGTGTTTTGCACCTTCGAAGTGCAAAGTACTTCTACAAGACTGGCAGGATTCTAATCCTGTACTCACCCTGGACGGTGAGCAGATAGACGTAGTCGAGAAGTTCGTGTATCTGGGTAGCTGCATAAGTGCTGGTGGGGGTGTGAGTGATGAGATCAATGCACGAATAGTGAAAGCCAGAGCGGCTTATGCCAATCTGGGCCACCTTTGGCGCCTTCGTGATGTTAGTCTGGCTGTAAAAGGTCGGATCTACAACGCGTCAGTGAGAGCAGTTTTGCTCTATGCTTGTGAAACCTGGCCTCTTGAGTTGAGGACGTTAGACGACTCTCTGTGTTCGATCATCGCTGTCTCCGAAGGATTGCTGACATTCAGTGGCAACACTATGTCAGTAATGCAGAGGTTCGGCATCATGTGTTCGGGCACAGAGATAATAACTCAATTGGTGTCACCATCTTGAAACACCGACTTCGGTGGCTTGGACATGTTCTCCGAATGTCGCCCCAGGGAATTCCACGTCGTGCATTATTTGCCGACTCTGGGACTGGTTGGAAGAAGCGGAGAGGTGGTCAGTGCATGACATGGTGTCGTGGCATGAAAGAAAGCTGCAAAGGACTGGCTTGTGTTGGTCCTTCACGACTCCCTGGCTGGGGTCCGAGAGATGGTGCTACACAGTGGCTAGAGACGTTATCAGATATGGCTCAGAATAGAAGCCAGTGGCGATCCTGCTGTAACCTTCTTTTACTTTCTTCATAAAAGGTGGTTGTGTCTCCCTTACCTGAAAGATTTCTTCTGATTGTGCCTCTTCGTCATTACTCTCTTTTTCTTTTGCGTTTCTTAGTTTTTTTTTCGTTTTTTTTCTTTCTACTTCTCTTCGAATTCCCATTGTTTTGTGTGGCGCATATATATTGGCGCTCTCTTGTACCAATATTTATGTGTTCAAATAAAATAATAATAAAATAAAACCCGGTTAGAGCGTTGGACATTCGCTTTTTGTCCTCTTCATTTCGTAAAAAAACACCTGTGGTGCGAGAAGGCAGCGAGTAGGACTTTGCTGTCAGTGGTTGTATATGCGTGGCCATTTGAGAGCATTTCGAAGGGGAAAACGAGCTCTCTCCAACCTCGACCGTACCAGGACATTTGAAAATCTGACATCAACTATACATGTGTAATGTTAAAGTTTGAGTAATGTGATTACTGACACGAAAGAACGGAATGCTTACAACCAAACTACGAGACCAGTAGTATGATATGCTTCATGCTAATTTTATTAAACTGATCAAAATGCACTTAAACACCGGTTGTTTTCTTATTTATTTATTTGAACACATGAATATTGGTACAAGAGAGCGCCAATATATATGCGCCACACACACCGGACATTTACTTTAATTGAATTCGGCCGGGCTTATCAGTGAAGTATCCAGTAAAACTTAGTATTTTTATCAGCACTCAAATTTAATGGGTTAGATTGAAGGAAACTTGAAAGTACATTTGGACTGTAGGAAATGATTATCTCGTGTTTAATTTTAGTTTCGTCCGTTTAATGAAATTTGCAGGTTAGTGTGAACGGCGTTGAACCATAAGTTATGTTGATTATTGATATATCAAACTCAAAATTCGACTATTTAAAACATGATAAGAATACAAATTATTTATTACTTACTTCATCAACTTGTAAAACATTCATTAAATCTAATGCCTTTTTATCACTTGGACATGTGACATGAACTTTCCAACCCCAAAGTTTAGCCAATTGTGCTGCAATAAAGCCAACACCACCAGTGGCGCCAGTTATAAGAATTGAACAAGCTGATGGTGATGACTTACTAACAGGGTCGATTCCACCAGCATCAACTAAAGCTGACCATGCAGTTAAACCAGCATATCCTAATGCAGCTGCAGATATGAAAGAAACATTACTAGGTAATGGAGCAACATAATCGGCTGGACAGACAATATATTCAGCTAATGAACCAGATCCAGTAGTACTGAGAAAAGGCCATGTAGCACCAACCACATTTGTACCAATAATAAGTTTATTTTGCCTGTTTAGGTTGGATAAAGCAACTTCTGAACCGATGTCAACTATTTGACCAGAAAAATCACGACCAGGTGTAAAAGGAAAATCAGCATTTTCTGCTGTTGTGGCATCAGGTAGACCAAAGCAACCATAGTTTGATGTAAAGCGACGTAATAAATTAAAGCTAGAAGAACCATAACCATAGACAAGCAAAGAATCGACAGGATTTAACGATGCCGCTTTAACCTTAATAAGTAATTGGTCTGGACGAGTTATATTGGGCATACGTCTAGTCCTTGTGAAGTGTAATTCAGATGTGATGTCTGCTGCACCAGGTGGTAGAAAGCTCATCAGCTGCCATGCAGAAATAGTTTTTGGAAGTTTTGGCCTCATATCATACTATGTGTTTTCTGAAATATGAAAAAGAAAAAATGTTTTATTTTAGGTATCAGTATGATGAAGTTTTTAGAAGGAAACCTAAACTTAGATATTACTGTCGAATATTTTTACTATTAATCAAAGTGATAAGTGAGAATTGATAAAGTGAAAAAAAATCGTCGAATTCAAAATATTTTGTGGTCTTATATATCCGTTCAGATTATTTAGACAAAGACAATTCCATGGAACAATTCGATCGTTGGAATGCGACCAAAAGAAAGTGAAGTAATGATATGATTTTTAGATCAATTTGAAAGTGGAAGTAAATGACTTATGATGGTCTCAAATGGCCACGCGTATACAACCACTGACAGAAAAGTCCTACTCACTGTCTTCTCGCACCACAGGTGTTTTTTACGAAATGAAGAGGACAAAAAGCGAATGTCCAACGCTCTAACCGGGTTGGTGGACACGGAGGGTCCAAATAGGGGAGTTGGAAAACCCTTATTCCAAACCAATCGTGTACATGTGGTCCAGGATCCTGGAGGAACAAATGGCATATAAACCTATTGTTGGTCATCGGCTACCACGGTATTGCATCCCCTAACGTTTCTCCACTGCCTTGTGGATCAGACCTATAGGTCGAAGGCTCCGGATGTGGCTCCCTAAGAAAATCACCTGCTTTGGTTTGAGCACCTGAGGAGTACCCTATCCCTCACACCAATCAAGTGACTTGTGTGGCGTATATGTAGTCAATGCCCCTTTGTAACAATATTTATGTGTTCAAATAAAGAAAAGAATAGTCATTTCGAATGTAAACTATTTTGAAAATTCACGGCATGAAAACTTCTAATCCACAGTACGAATTCAAGAACCATTCGATGGATTTTGAAGATTTCGAAAAAGATCATAATAATGATAGGACGACTGAGAGTAAGAATAGTTGATTCGCTACTTGAAAGTCAATATTTAATGAGAATTCAGTGATAATTCATAATCAAATGGCATTAATAATGGTTCCCAAATAGCATCAAAATATTTGTCACTAAAATTAAAAGGAATATTGGGAACGGAAATATTCATCCTTTTTTATCTAAACTCTAATCTGATTGTTAAACTGAAATAACATTATTTCCATTTTAAAGCAAACATATCAGTTAGAATGATTATGATAATTAAAGTGAAATTTCATCATTTGAATTAAGTAGACTTTAATAATGGTGATAGGAAAATTCAAAGCCAAAACTACTTTCAACCTCCTGTATCGGTTAGATCAAATATGTGCGGTCCCTTGTATTTTGGAATCCGTGAGTGACCTTCCCGGTAACTGCCGACGAATTAAATTTGGTCAAATCGTTTCTTGACATGATTCTAGCAAGATGTGAAACGATGAGGCATTTGAAAAACCTGATACATGAAGATGCTTGAAATAGAAAAAGACATAGGACAAGTGTGTCGAGAAAGTATTTTAAAACGGTGTACGGTTTATTTACCCTGAAATTTCCATGATCTCACTTCAGTTGTTTTGGGAATCACAGTTAAGAAGCAAGCCATTCAACTGAAAGAACAATACAATTTCTAGATGAACCAGTTAAGAGGCAATCTTCAGAAACTGAATGGAATTATTAAATACCAAATAACTCAGTAGATTATAATTTTCTGAACATAAACGATTGTACAAATTAAAATATTGATCTAAGGTTAATAAATTTTAGGATCTGACACCTCTCTCTTCATCTTGTCTGTTGAGAATTAGAACGATGTTGGTATGCAATGGAGAATAATTCCGAATGTATTTAGTCGAAATCCGTTGTCTCAACTGTTGCTAAAGTAGTTATATGCGAAGTCGTTCCCAGTAGTATATTCCTTGCTAGATTAATTTAAAGTCGATTTAGTTTAGAGTCAAGGTGTCAGCACAATTGTTTAACAACGTAAACGACAAAGACTTTTATCAATCGATCAAAACATTTATGAAGAAACATAATACCAATTTGCTATTTTCACAATGGCAAGAAATAATAGTAGTCGCAAAGTATCATGACATTTTGGATACTTTAACAGAACCTGTCTCACCAGTTATACAATTTCACCCTGCAGGTTTTCTGCAAACGAGTACAATATCGGAAAAACGGTATCTTCATGAATAGTGATTACGTTCCGTTTTGAAAGAGACGGGTTTCTTTTGTCTTTTATAGGATTTAACTTAGTACCAATACCTTACCCACATCAAAACTCGAGAGAAGTGATACTGTATTCCGGTCATGAAGAATAAAATGTCTCGCACACACAAGGAGTTGCACTGATGCTATTTAAAGATGTGCAGAAAGCATTTATAAGGTGGGAATCTCATAAATCCAGGATTATCAAAGCACCCTTGTAAGCAAAGAAAACATGGATAGCAATGTCATCCACAAGCATGCGCCCACCATTGATATCAGGGGGAATGGTGAGTATTTGTTTTGTAAGAAGTTGTAGTCCATTGTAGAGAAATACCCAGAAAAGGACCGAACCGTCCTGATGAAAGACCTAAACGCCAAGGTCGAAATGGACAATACAGAGTATGACGATATCGAGGGATAACAAGGACTGGGAGAAAGGGACGAAAACTGTGAGATTTACAAATTTGTGGGCTTTCGACAAAATAGTTATATGTGTTACCATTGTCGTAAGAAAAAAATAGAGGAGCTGATACGGCTTCAGATCACTACCTGATAGCTGCAAAGATGAAACTAAAGCTAAAGAAACACTGGATAAACAGTATCACAAAAGATTAATACAGCCTTCCTTTGAGATACTGACATATGAAGTCAACATAAATCCTACCAATAAGTCCCACTAAAAGAGTAAACTACTATGGAAACAAATGGAAATGGATAATAAAAAGTAGTAACTTGAACATACCAGGAGGTGCTGCGTCGCAAGAAGCACCGTCATAAAGGGTGGATTTCTGTTGATATCCTACGCACGATTCAAGAAAGTAAGAACAGGAAGACACCAGTCGACAAAAACCAAACAATAGTAGAGAAGGTCAAGACAGAAGCCAAATTCACAGGCAAACAAGCGAGTGAAGAGCAGCATCAGAACTGATGAACGGAAGTATGTGGAACATCTAGCGACGAGAGTGGAGAGAGTTGCAAGTGAAGGGAAACCTGAGAGCACTCTAAAGAACCCTTGAAAAGACCAGTCACGCTGAACCCATCAGACATCGAAGAAGCACACACGCACATTCCTATGGTTGTCACTCCATCAACAATAGAAAAAATCAGGATGGCAGACAGATCAACTGTGGGAAAGCAGTAGAACCTGACAACATATCGGCTGTAGCACTAAAGTCAGATATTGAAGTAACTGCAAACATGCTTCACATCATATTCTGAAAGATTTGGGAGGAGCAACAAATGCCGATAGAATGGAAAGAAGAATACCTCATCAAGATACCAATGAAAAGAAAATGAAATCTCAGTAAATGTGAGAACCATAGAGGCATCCTACTACCATTCGTGCCAGCAAGCGGTTCCAACAGTGTTGCTGAACCAGATGAATGATTCAGTGGACACTTAGCTCCGAGATCAACAGGTCGGATTCCATAAGGATCGGTCGTCCACGAACCAAATCTCAACACTACTAACCATCGTTCAACAATCCATTAAATGGAATTCGTCACTATACATCAAATTCATTGACTATGAGAAAGCGTTTGACGGTATGGATAGGAGAATATTATGGAACCTACTTCGACTTTATGGTGTAACTGGGAAAACCGTCAAAATCATCCGGAATTCATACGACGGACTACACTGCGAAGTCGTGCATGGAGGACAGTTGACAGATGCATTCCAAGTGACGACCTGAGTCAGACAAGGCTGATTAAGTAGAATTTTGTGAAACCACTAAAAAACCATCCTAACGACTATGTAGCATGACGATAATTCCCCTTTAGTCGGGTCTATAATATACAGCTTCAAAGAGAAATTTAGAATTATGATATTAGGCTCATTGTAATCGCGTCGAATAATCACCTAACAGAGAAACGGTAGTACAATTGCAACGGTTGTCGCATAACTTAACATGTAAACTGGTACATAGTCACTAAGTTTTAATGTGGGATGATGGTTAAAGCATTTAACTGTCAACCAATTTATATATGATTGACCATTGCTTCGTATAAATTGCCCCTGGGAGGTGTGGAAAATTAGCTACACTACCTAATTAATGAAAATATTTCAATAAAATGCTCGTGGTGGTTAATAGTCTCACTTTTACCTATTCAACATTGCTAAACCATTACTTAGTATTAAGAGATAAGAAAATTAATTACTCGGGTTGATAAGTACGAGAATATACTAATTTAAAGGTAAGTGGAGTACGCTGAAATGGTCACACTACTTAATGTTTCGGAAAATAAATTTCTATTACCCATTTTCATATGAAAACCAACCACCTCAAATAGATATGCATTCCAGAATGTAATTGAATAGTTTTATAAACTCATGTTTTGAGTTGTCTAAACAAAAAGCAGAGAATCCTTTTCTTTAGATCTATTTCAACAAACACGAAGTCCAGAGGGGTTTTGTGGATATTATAGTAATTTAATAGTTGAACTCATGAGTCAATTGAAGCTAGACCACCATGGAAAACATGGAAAGGGGATCGTGGATGCGCACTGTCGAGGAATCCCATACTAGGATGAAACGGCCGTCCAGTGCTCCCAGGTGGTCTAGCTTCAATTGACTAATAAATTCAACTATCAAAACACGAAGTTGAAGAATTCTTGTGTTGAATAAATTCAAATGAGGAACATAAATTGACCTGAGGAAAATTTGACAGAGGTAGACTGTTAAGATAAATATTGCTTACATTCAAATATAAAACATAAATCAATTTGTAATGTCGGCTCTCTGTCCAAATTACTTCATATAATTAGTAAGTCTTAAATTAATTCATTTGAAGTTGATGAGTACCCGAGTCAACATAACACAAAATTGCAAATAAAAGCTCTCACATGCTCAACAAATATTTTATTCTTAATCACGAAAATAAACAACAGTAGTCAGATTATAATTTAATTAAGTGATAGGTCTATTCAATGTGAAGCGTTCAACTTTAAAATATCGAATCAATAACTAAAGCATTAACAACAGAATCAACAGGAAGTTCCTGTGGTCCGTCATTAACAATGGGAGGTAGTACCAGTAACAAATTAGAATTAAGACAACTAGCTAAGCAAGAACTCATTTGATTCTCCATCATATCACAAGATGCACAAGGTACGGAAGGTTGGTTACATTCTGAATTCTCTTTCCAAACTAATCTGGCACGTCTGTAATCTGGACGATCACTCAGTTTAACAGAATGTAACAACCGTACATGAATACTTGGAAAGCACCATTCTTCAAGAGGTCGTAAGTCCAACTTCCTTAATAAGGGCAAAACAAATAGATGCGCTGTTACATAACATGACACAGGATTACCTGGTAGGCAAAATGCTAACACAGGCTTTGGTTTAGTGGTAGTAGAAGCGGCGATGGCTGAATTATCATGATGAGGTATAGATAAGAATGTTGTTGGTTTCCCTGGTTTCATAAACACTCGAGCGAAGTGGAGAGTTGCATTAAAATCTTCGATTAGTATCTTACTAACCATATCACGTTCACCCATGCTTACGCCGCCTGTTGTGATAAGAATATCACACAAGGTTAAAGCCCTGGACAAGCCCATTCTTAAGGATTTTCGATCATCGGTTAAAATCCCACAATCTACAACATTAAAATAATTATGTTTGTGCAGTAGGTTGATTAAAACAGGGCGGTTACTGTCTCTCACAAAAGGCTTTGTTTCAGAAACAACACAATCTAAAACCTCATTTCCAGTCGATAAGACACCAATGCGACATTGCTCTAGACAGGGTAGGTATCCGCCTTGCAAAAGACGATCTAAAACCGCGTAAGGAATTGAACCTTCATTTGCCTTGACATAATCTGCATGATTAGATGGCCAAGGTGTTAGCAAACCTGCACCGGAAATCAACCCTAATTCCGTTGAACCAAGGCGTAGTCCTCGCCTAAAAACAAAGTTCTTGTCTAAATCGACACCAGCTGGACGAATGAACTGCCGAATACTTCCAGGTGGAATAGTCACTTCAATCGTGTCTTCCTCTTCTAAATAAAGATCTACATGTCCACCTTTTCGTTTAGAGATAAGTTTGGTGTTCTCTATTGGAACAACGCAATCAGCTCCAGAGGGAATAGGGCTGCCAGTACTAACACGAACACATGTGCCTGGAGTAACAACTAACTCTCTACCTGCACACATATGATCCCCAGCATACGACGCACCAACAACTTTTAGTTGACTAGCACCATCCATAAATCGAACAGCATATCCGTCCATCATGCTCGCATCAACAGGAGGAATGCACTGACGTGACTTTAAACTTCGACCAAGAACACGACCTAAAGCATTTTTATGAAACACTGCTTCAATCCCCATCTCAAAACTGCACACGGCGAATATCTTCTGAAGTGCTTCATCAACTGATATCATTGGATATTTAGAATGTCTACAACGACTAACGACAGGATATTCGCGTTCTAATATACTTTTATCCAGATTATACTGAATGGGATGTTCTAATTTTACAAGATGATCCCAACCTTTGATTTGCTGGATAGCATGTTTCATTACTGGAAGAATAACTGGGATACACTGAGAAACTGCGCGTGTACTACCTGGTAAGGTTATTAGTAGAGTTTCATTACATACTCCAGCTACAAATCGCGATAAAGCACCCATCGGGGTATTTTGAAGTGAAATAGAATAAAGAGAGTGCTCAATACCATGTAGACGTTGATTTTGGGAAACCAACTCAATAATTATATCCGAAGTAACATCCCTTCTAGACAGACCTGTACCCCCTAGCGTAAGTACGGCTTCTACTTGACGAGAAGCTACCCATTTCATAATTACGCGACGAATAATATGTGGGTCATCCGGGACACAATCTTTTAACGGGACGTTAAATCCTGCCTCCTGGAGTAAACTTTCAGCAACTGGGCCACTTTGATCGAGTAAAATATCCTTGGAGCATGTGTCGCTGACAGTGAGAACTGCCACAGACAAACGCAGACCTGAAAAAGACCGGGAATAATTCACTAAAAGAAGTCATCAAACGATTTAGCAACATAACAGTGCATATTTTCACTTGTAAGACTATCGCAAAGTGATACTAGAGATGACTAAAGTAATGCAATACTTGTAAGCAACGAAAGTCAAGTTCAAAAGAAACTCCGAAACAAAAAGTATAACTAGACCGTTGGATTCAGGAGTGGGAGGATGTAGGAATTTATTTATTTAAGCACATAAACATTGGTACAAGGAGGCACCAAATAGATATGCGCCACATAAATCACTCGATTTGTGTGAGGGCTGGAATAATGCCCAGGTGCTCAAATCGAAGCAGGTGATTTTCTTAGGAGGTCACACCCAGAGCCTTCTACCTCAAGGTCTGATCCACAAGGCAGTGGAGAAACGTTAGGAGATGCAGTAACATGGTAGCCGATGACCAACAATAGGTTTATATGTCATTTGTTCCTTCAGGATACTGGACCACATGTGCACGGTTGGTCTGGAATAAGGGTATCTCAACTCCCCTATTTGGACCCTCCGTGTCCACCAACCCGGTTAAAGCATCGGACATTCGCTTTTTGTCCTCTTCATTTCGTAAACAACACCCGTCGTGAGAGAAAGCACTGAGTAGGACTTTCCTGTCAGTGGATGTTTACGCGTGGCTATGAGAGGTAGAGGGAAATCTTCCCATCCTTGACCGTACCAAGGCATTTAAGGGTGAACAGATGAGTGATCGGAAGCGACCAGTAATAAAATAACCACAGGGGAACTACACGTTTAAAAGCAATATGGAAATATCAGTGTTATCTGTTCATTAAATATGACTTATTTCAGTTTATAGTAAAAGTCGAATTATAGTTCATCTTCCAAAGATTACTTTTAGTTACCGTCAGTAGTATTTGCAGCTAGCGTAAAACAAATTTAGTTTAAAGCCTAATAAAAATAACTACTAAGTCACAATTCCTAGTCAAGATTATCTTTAGATCATTCGCATTTCTGAAGTACGTAGCTAAGATGATAAACTAAAACAATATGTAAGTTCACTTGAAAGGTGATTCTTAAATATAGGAAACTTATCCAGTCGAACAATTATTCTAACTCGAATCAACTGAAGTTCAAAAGTTTAAACCATTATATTTCAAATTAGTGGCTTAAACGCTATATACTTAATGACAGGTACACAAGTCCTGGAGTGCATATTCTTGAAGGAGTATACAAGCACTACTCAGCAACTACTGTTGTCAGATTATAATACAAACTACTTTTAGTTTCGTAACTAAATCTATAAATTAATGTTACATATATTCGACATCAGAAATAAGCTTCGTTGAAACACTTAAAATAATAACGATATAAGTCACTTAAACAAAAAATAATAAAGAATTCACCATCGATCCGACAACTATTAGTAAATGAAGACTTACTTTCAAGAAAAATATGTCAGAAAGGAGAACCAAAGGGAGAAAAAACAGATGTTAATAAATCGAGAACAAATTCGAACGACATTATGTAATTTTTTCTACCGGGTAAACAGAACCTATACTAATTTTGCAAGAGCTCTACTCATCATACTGGATCAGCCTATGAGCTTCTAGTCGTTATTACACCAGTGCTATAAAATGGTTATTACCCTTCACTAAGACAGGTCTCTGTCAATAAATAAAGTATTTTTCACTGTTTCACCAAAAGAGTAGAATAACCTAACTAGTTTTGTAACGAACTTTATTTACGTCTAACAGATACATAAAAACTAGTCTTTTTAGTGAAGCAATTTACAGTTGAAACACGATTTATTCAAATGCACATAGGGATGCTTAGGTCACGGAGTCTTGTGAGGTTGGTCATTATGACAGATCAACAATTGATAATTGCCAGAGAAAAATTATATTTCATGTAGCTATACGAACCAAAATCAGCAGATCCAAATAGAAATATAGGTTGAAAAACACTACTCGACGAAGTGCTGCTCATTTTTAGAAGGAAACTTTACACGAGACGTGAAATCCATGTGAAAACCAAGAGGTGGTCGATATTAGTCAAAGATTGTGACCTAATAAGGAGAAATCTCGCTCACTTTGAAAAAAATCCGGAGTTAGGCAGTCTGATTTAGCCAAGAACACGTCATATTTGTCACTAATTATCTAAACAAATTTTTTCAAAGCTAAAGATTTAATAAATGACTATTATTCAAACCAATATTGCTGATTTTTCAGTTGCTAAACACACAGAGAGTTACATTGACTGAGTAATGAATGAATAATCCACTCAATAATAAATAGGGCAAGAATCATACCAGTTACTTTTTCATACGACATTTGGAGAACTTTATTACGTGAAGCTATGACAAAAAGTCCACAAGTAAATCATTAATCGGATCTCCAATACAAGTGAAAGCAGATTTTCTGAAACCGAAATCAAAATTCAGCTGGTATAAGCAATTATAATTGTGACAGTGATTTAGAATGTATATCTTAGTTCTAGTAACGTCTATTCTACCTCGTAATGATATTGGTTTGATTCACCTTTAAAAAGTACATATAGTGACACATGTAAAATTTGTAACAACAAAATACTGATATGTTTATCCACATAGACGAGAGTCGCTGACTTGATTTTACTTTACAAATGAGGTGAGACATATAACATTGAAAGTTTTGTGAAAATCCCTCGACTTCTAGGTAAGTTTAAGTGGTAAAATGGGCCAGGGGTAAATCAGATAAGCATAAGTCTCTCTGAATTTCGTCATACAAATTTATTACTATCCATATTAATGTATCTACTTAAATGGCTCCCAAGTGTAGATACGGTTTCCTGAAAATGTTGTGGAAGCACTTTCCATTTCAAACCCGCGAGAAACAGGCTGATTTCAGACCTGAATGTGGACGTGCATATCACATTAGCTATCAAACTGGTTATATCTTATTAGTTAGGGATACTTTTACTTAATTCTGTAATAAATATTCTCTAAAAGATAACGTTTTATCGTTGAAAACTTAAAGGATTGGTTCTCTACAAGAAAGATCACTTATCGACGTAGAATATGCAGACGACATAGTCCTAATCAGCAAGGACGCTAACACAAACCATAGCTTTGTGACAGCCTTGAGTAACAATGCAAGGATGTTTGAGATATATTCCTCTACATCTAAATGCAAAGTGTTGCTTCTATATTGATCAGAATCATTCCTAGATAGGTAGCCAGGAGTTAATCAGTTCACTGCACTAACTTTTTACTTAACTTGGGGGTTTACCGAATCTAGTAGTTTGGTATGAGAAAAAAAATCGCAGCATGGATTGAAAAAGTATGACTAGTTTTGTAAATTTGCGTCACTTACTGCAAGATATTAGTTTACCAACCAAAGGACAAGTATATCAAGCAACAGTGAAACCTGTATTACTTTATGGCTACAAAATATGATCAATACATGTATAAAATCCACGGAGTGGTATTCAATAGTAGATGACTTAAAAACAATGCTTGCATATGGTGAAACCATCGATTAGTACTACTGAAGTTAGATGCAGGGCATTAGGTACGAATTTTAGGTTGATTGATGAGGCTATGTACCGAGATCGTTCAGATATGTGATACAAACCCAAAGCTGGTTAACATAAGTATAAACTATATAGAGGCTAGGGACGGACAGAATATCACGAGGTATTAATCCACACTCGACAGAGCCAAGTCGGTAGGTGCACATTATAGTTGAGGCTCTCTAAATACTCATGATCAACAGCTGATGACGCCAGTTGGATGTGGAATCAGCAGCAGTGGTACGACCGTGTTTATTCGCCGTCTTCCTTTAGATCTTGAGTCAGACATGATTCATAAAGTCTTACTACTCGATCACCACTATCGTCACATACGCTGAGCAGACATTTGAAGTTTAGTGAGTCTAGTGCTTTATCAAAAAGTAAAAGTGTATTCGTAGTTCGCCAGGTCTATTTTAACCTAACAAGTCGTTTACCCAAAAAGGACAACACTGCCATCAGAGCAGTTGAGAATAGATAATATATACAGGATAGTTTGCGGTATTTTAGTGCTTTGAGTTCCTTACAGGACTATTCTTCAATCGGCTTCGTAAACTCACCCACAAGATACTTAGGTATGAGCCACATTCTATGTGTGAAAGTGAGACTACCCGGTTACCCAAACCGAAGTAGATTGTTTCAAGTTCTAATATGACGTTGAGCCAGACTTTAGGTATACTAAATTGGCTAAACATACGGTAGTAAACTTGAAGTATACATTGATGTAGAAAAATACACCGCTAGAATACATATAAGTTGGTTGGTTAACCAGTAAACACACGGTGACTTTGGTAACCATATCTTAGTACCATGAATTCTGTGAATAACTTGGATCAAGATAATTTAACAACCATAAACCAAACCACAAAATCGCTGTTGCATAGACAGTTTGATGGCACCTCACTAACATTTGTTGACTTAAAATAAGTGGCCAGGTAACTAAAACATTGCTTGGTAGAATTAAGGAACTACTTGTCTTCTTGGATCTACATTTGGGTGGGTGTTCTTGACAATGGAAGTCCCGTTTATAAGATGTTTTCCTGAGGAGTAAACTGTCAGTCATTAGTAGTGGTAGTAATCGAAACGTAACGAAGTAGTCACTTTCGGAACCTACGGAACTTAAGCAAAATTCGAGCCCTTTCTTGAAAGACACCGCGTAACGGACTGTTACCATAGCCTATAATTACGAGTTCTATAGTTTAAGGGTTCTAACTAAAGTAAAGTATGCATGGATTTATATGCAAGCTCCCTTATGTTCTATTTTAAATGGAACTTGTCTTAGGTGCAATTTAGCACTAAAATCAACTAGTGAACTGTCAGTGTGGAGAGTATAGGTTACAAGACGAATAAATTATATACCCTTTGGTCATTTTGTACTTTACAGGTTGAAAGTTTAGAGCTTCCAAGAGGGCTGAGTAGGGTTTATCGTCTAGTTTGGATACCTTTAAAGTAACTTTTCTTTGTAGTAGTCCTTTAACGATTGTGCCTTGTGGAACTGCACTTATCACCGATAAAAGCCAGACAGAGTAGGGCAAAATCTGATACCGTGTGATCGCCCATATAAATAATCTGAAGGTTATACCATTGAACAATCGCCACGGAAAAGCTGGAAGAGAAGGCTCCTTGTTGATGGTACATTTTGGAAGCCAAGTTTCACAGGAAGCCAATATACTTGGGCGTATACCATTTGTCAGCTCTCTGATCTCTAGGGTTTTCAGTCGTATCCCATTTACTTTCATGTATCTATAGTGAGTGGGAGGGACACTTTTTGAGCATCGTTAGGAAGACATTTTAAGAAAAATGCAACCAGGTAAAAATCAGACCCCAGGTGATATGGCTTCCCCGCTTTATAAGACCTCACGATTACGGAATATTGAGATTTCATTGACCTAATCACCAAACTTTGGGGACGTTTTGGGGAAACCCACAAAGTCGAATGACCTCCATTAAGGTCAGAGAGAAATTTTGGGAAAATATAGGGGAATTTCCCCATGTCTGGAGAAATTATGGGGTTTAGTGCCATTTACATAAAGCTTACTATAGTGGCTCACCTAAAATGGCCCAAATTTTCCCCAAAATTGGGACCCAATTTGATCCCAAAATTTGAACCTCAAGATCGAAGATTTACGGTGAATAGCTAACAAGTCGTTAAATGTACCTCCATTAGTAAGAAAAATGTGTGGACGAAATTACACGTAAACAAATCAATGATATCTGAGCTCATATTTATACGATAATAATAAATGACTGAATTCCTAGCAAAATAACCGTGTGGACGACCTTGTATTACCCTGAAAAAACGGCGTGAATTTAAAATCACTTCCCTGGCTTTGAGTAAAATGTTCCAATATGAGCAAGTATTATCCTAATTACGACATGGTTTCAGGTCTTTGGAGGCGTACAATCGAAACGCAGCAGTTCCAGTAAATTGTGCAGTTGATTATAGATTGTTTGATTTGAGTTTAATTTACTAAGTTTGTCGCATAGCAGTAAAGTTTCTTGTTCAAGCAGCCTGATAAACTCATCACTCAACAAACTGATGGGTTCCATTAGTAAGATTTCAATCAAGTAACATTTCACTGGTTAAGTGTATTTTTTAACACAGTGTACAGAGTGAGATATCTTCGTTCACTGATAAATAATGAAGTGAAATGCAGATTGGAGCAATCAGAATTTAGCAATTTTTTGGCCCAAGCCGACTCAAAGTTCAAATCTTTTATAAAATAATGAATAACTACGATCGTAAGAAAATCATTACAAATCTAACTATTGTTAGATGATTATTGACTGCTTTTTACGATTATGCTAAAATACACGTTTCGTAATACTTTTGATTCCACTCAGAATGTAAACTAACGTGGGCTTTGATACCATTATCGGATTTGTAAATTCAAATGAATGGAGCATCGAAGCACAGAAGAACAAATGATAAGCATCCTTCCTATTACTTTTCCACATGCTTTTAAAGCAAACAATGAAAATTCCCTACAGCAGTAATTTTGATATGTGTCAAAATAACTTGATATTTTAGCATGGACAAAACTATTATCCTGTAAATCACCAACGTAGATGATCTATGTCGAAATGATTGGAGGCCTACTCGAGTTAGACGTGAATGGTGTGACGAACCAACTAACGTCGAAGTCACACCTCGTGGTCAGCACCTTACGTGGACTACCCCCATTGACGTAACAAGGTACTATAGATGCTTTGAAGACTGTACAACACAAAGGACGTTATTACAGAAATATATTAGTTAAGGTAGATACAGGCGAAATTAAGACCACTGCCGCATGGGCCAGTCCATGGCGTATGATTAACTAATGCGCGTTGCTTGTACATGACCTTGGCAGGGAGCGATGATCTGTTCGACATTCAGTGATCCAACTGCCAGATGATTTGGCTAGGGCTCAGTGACATTTCACTGGCCCTACAATACTCCCTCACCAGATTCAACGGCCGTTTGAATCGGTACCAAACATGTTGGGAGCAGTCGCGCGCCAGAGAGTGCCAAACGAATATTATAAATCCTCCAGGTATTGCTTATCTGTAAAAGAAATGGAAAGGAGGCGGCAGAAACTGGTCGGGAAACAGCGAGTCATAATATGTTAGTAGGACGTTGGTTAAGCGTAAAGCGATTAACCATAGAAATAATGAAAAGAACAAAACGTTTTATTGTTCTACCAAGTCGCGCTGAAATATATAGCCTTGACAAGTAATTCGGTTCCTCCGATGACAAACGTTAAGTCTGCCGCAAGAGTAATGATGCTATAGCGATAGTAGGATAAGTGTATTATCAATCGATATCCATATTTGTACTGTCATTAGTTTAAAGTTGTAAGTCGGACAGTGTCGTTGACAGCTATTAATTAGTGTCAAATTCTAGTTATATCTATATCTAACAGACTAACCGTAAGTACAGAAGTATAACAGTGAAGAGTGGTCGTGATTTCGTTGTGCGAAGCTATTGCCCAACTTGTAGTCACAGTTTGAAAAGTCGATGACTGCTGTTACAGTCAGTAAGGGTTGAAGGCTACAAATCGACAGCAAAAGGTGGCATGATGAAGTCTCTAAAAGATGATAAACGGTAAGTGTTGCGTGTTTGTTCGGTTAGTGAACAGAAAAATATCGAAAAGAACATAAGAAACCAAGAGTGTCACTCTGGACTCATGTCAATGATACCCGTGAAAAACGCTGTCAGTGTTGGGATAGAGGCGACAATATCGTTTTCAGTTTGCAGGAGATTCGCTCGACTGCATAAACTGATGATTCGCGCGAATGATATTGTCGTCAGACCACCAATTGAACTGGACAGGTTGTAAATCGTCGAGTAGTTGAACAGCCTATTGATGTACCGGAATCATCTGTTAATTAACAGCCACGAGGAAACAATACTTCATAAAATGAAGTACGACATCGAAGTAGAACAACTACAATAGTTCAGATGTGTTACAATGTCAAGTCTAAATAACATCGTTCTTACGTATACTGACAGTTGCACTGAACGTCCGTTTAGGTATGATTAGCGTAACAGTTGGATGTGTGAATAAAAACATATACGAAAACTATGGTTGGGTTCGTGGAGGATTTTCGAGGACGTTTAGATATTTCCCAAACCCGTATCGCATGTAAATAAACCGAAAATAGAATTAAAATGACTGTCGTGTAATAAGGAAATCGAGCCATGACTTACCGTGTGAATTAATAGCAAATACAAGGGGTATAATAAACATTAATTAAAATGGTAACCACCAATGTAACTAAGGTTTAGAGGGTCCAGGTAACGTGGTCATTTCGTAAAAGGCTGATACAAAGAGCTTATTACCTAGCGTTAAGTGACATATTAAGTACGACAACATGTGTACTTGGGACATGGACTAAGCGTGCTCGTGTACATGCAATATGTTTTACCACAGTATGTCGACTAACGAGTCATAAATGTACATGATTTTGACTAAAACTTGACGGCAGTGACAGAATATATGACTAGTTTACGTGAAAGCAACTACGAAATGTTATCACGCATCATAAATATAGTACGAAATAATCTAATGAAACTATGAAACTCGCCTGGGTTACTCTTACCTTTAAGTAATGAAGTAGGCAGTAGTTTGAATCTGGATTATGTACGAGGTACTGTTGATTAAATTTTTCGATTAACACAGCATTGTAGACTGACGAACAGTCGTGAATTTCTAGCATTCGTATCCTCTGTTTGGCCATGGAACTCAGCAATTGGAAATTAGGCAGGCAGTGGTTAAAAAAAAGCAGAACATCCTAGTGGATAGTGGTTAAGTAGAAACATGAATTTATAGTCGATAGTTAATCTTGTCTTATTTATACCAGTGGATAAGTTACAAACAGATGTGCGTTCGTGTTGCCTTGTGGCTATACTCACGAGTGGTTGATATTTTAACAGACATACTACACAGGAGCATTTACATGCTGCTAATGTGCGTTAAAGAACCACGATAGCCGATTATAATCGTAGTTGATTGGTTAGTTCTGTCGATTGAACTAAGTATTTAAGTTTAAATACTAATCAACATTGACATGAAGCAACGAAAGTTCACAGTGATAGATTAACATAGGCGATGATAAAAATGAAAAAGAATAAGTATAGAATACAATAATACAGAGTATAGTGATAAGTTGCGTTGCTCGAAGTCTTGCTCACCAGTGTAGATCACCAACGTAGATGATCTATGTCGAAATGATTGGAGGCCTACTCGAGTTAGACGTGAATGGTGTGACGAACCAACTAACGTCGAAGTCACACCTCGTGGTCAGCACCTTACGTGGACTACCCCCATTGACGTAACAAGGTACTATAGATGCTTTGAAGACTGTACAACACAAAGGACGTTATTACAGAAATATATTAGTTAAGGTAGATACAGGCGAAATTAAGACCACTGCCGCATGGGCCAGTCCATGGCGTATGATTAACTAATGCGCGTTGCTTGTACATGACCTTGGCAGGGAGCGATGATCTGTTCGACATTCAGTGATCCAACTGCCAGATGATTTGGCTAGGGCTCAGTGACATTTCACTGGCCCTACAATACTCCCCCACCAGATTCAACGGCCGTTTGAATCGGTACCAAACATGTTGGGAGCAGTCGCGCGCCAGAGAGTGCCAAACGAATATTATAAATCCTCCAGGTATTGCTTATCTGTAAAAGAAATGGAAAGGAGGCGGCAGAAACTGGTCGGGAAACAGCGAGTCATAATATGTTAGTAGGACGTTGGTTAAGCGTAAAGCGATTAACCATAGAAATAATGAAAAGAACAAAACGTTTTATTGTTCTACCAAGTCGCGCTGAAATATATAGCCTTGACAAGTAATTCGGTTCCTCCGATGACAAACGTTAAGTCTGCCGCAAGAGTAATGATGCTATAGCGATAGTAGGATAAGTGTATTATCAATCGATATCCATATTTGTACTGTCATTAGTTTAAAGTTGTAAGTCGGACAGTGTCGTTGACAGCTATTAATTAGTGTCAAATTCTAGTTATATCTATATCTAACAGACTAACCGTAAGTACAGAAGTATAACAGTGAAGAGTGGTCGTGATTTCGTTGTGCGAAGCTATTGCCCAACTTGTAGTCACAGTTTGAAAAGTCGATGACTGCTGTTACAGTCAGTAAGGGTTGAAGGCTACAAATCGACAGCAAAAGGTGGCATGATGAAGTCTCTAAAAGATGATAAACGGTAAGTGTTGCGTGTTTGTTCGGTTAGTGAACAGAAAAATATCGAAAAGAACATAAGAAACCAAGAGTGTCACTCTGGACTCATGTCAATGATACCCGTGAAAAACGCTGTCAGTGTTGGGATAGAGGCGACAATATCGTTTTCAGTTTGCAGGAGATTCGCTCGACTGCATAAACTGATGATTCGCGCGAATGATATTGTCGTCAGACCACCAATTGAACTGGACAGGTTGTAAATCGTCGAGTAGTTGAACAGCCTATTGATGTACCGGAATCATCTGTTAATTAACAGCCACGAGGAAACAATACTTCATAAAATGAAGTACGACATCGAAGTAGAACAACTACAATAGTTCAGATGTGTTACAATGTCAAGTCTAAATAACATCGTTCTTACGTATACTGACAGTTGCACTGAACGTCCGTTTAGGTATGATTAGCGTAACAGTTGGATGTGTGAATAAAAACATATACGAAAACTATGGTTGGGTTCGTGGAGGATTTTCGAGGACGTTTAGATATTTCCCAAACCCGTATCGCATGTAAATAAACCGAAAATAGAATTAAAATGACTGTCGTGTAATAAGGAAATCGAGCC